CTGCATTTTCCACGCCCAACTCGACCCCATGGACAGGGACGAGCTCACACGCTTGTACGCGACTGATGAGCTCCTGTACATGCGGGGCGTCGTCGTTGAGGCGTGGAAGCCGGCATCGGTGCTGCCACAATGCCACAGATGCCAGGCATTCGGCCATGCATCGGCCAATTGTCACCGGCCTGTGAAATGCGTTCGCTGCGGTGGGGAGCACCCGGCGGCGAACTGCGACAGGCCGAGGGACCAAAATTCATGCGCCAACTGCGCCAAGGCACATACGGCCAACGACAGAAAATGCCCGGTGTATAAGAGGGTGGCACGGCAGAGGGGCATCAAACCCCGCCCCCCCGTCCCTACCGCGACGACAAAAACGCCCGTGGCGCAAACACAGCGTCGTAATAAACCCACCGCGGCGCCGCGTACCTACGTCGCCCAGGCCCCCCCTCCCGTAATACCGGTCGAGGAAACAGCCGGCGCCAACCTAATGGCGCCGGCCAACGAGCCGAAGCATCGCGGCACCGACACCGGTGAAAATAAAAGATTTTGCCGAAGACGCGGCAAGAAGAGGCGCGGTGATGGGCCAGTTACGGCCTCAACTCCAATCCCCTTCTACCGATCCCACCCCTACATATATGCGCACATCGCACCGGAAGGGTGGGGCCTTCCCACGCATGCCGTCCCAAATGGGTCCACGAGTTGCGCCACGTCGCCGCCGGGCGCCACCGGCACACAGCGTGCCGAGAGTGGCATTAAAAAATATACGCAAGACGCGCACCTCCCGCGCCCCCACACGGACCGCACACCCAGAGGCGCGAACGATATACAAACACAAGCGCCCGTCGACAGAGCACTGAACATGCTTATTAGCCTGTTGACGGAGCTGCTAACAACGAATGGCCGGCGCGGACACAAAGTCGGCGGCATTAAATGGATTGGCCAAAATCCAACAGTACACAAATGGCGGGTACTAGCCTGCGCATTGTGTACTGGAACCCCGGGGGAATAAAGGATAAAGTCCAGGACCTTTCTCCTAGCTCGCACCCAGGATGTGCACATCATACTCCTGGGTGAAACGAAGCTCACAGAAAAGGAGACGTTGAGGGTGCCTAACTACCACGTGTATAGACGCGACGAAACGTCACCGGCGGGCATTGCGTACCGCGGTACGGCGGTACTAGTCCGTCGGGACGTAGTCCACGTGGAGTTAGAGCGCCCCGAGTTCCGCGTCATGCGCTCCATAGGAGTCAGCATCAACGTCGACGGCGCGGAACTGAAGGTCCTGGCAATTCCGTCCCCGGGACTGGAAAGCCCCTCCGATGTCCGGAACGTTCTGGATGGGAGGAGTCCCACCCTATTATGGGCGACCTAAACGCGAAGCACACGGCTTGGGGTTCCCGTCTGTGCTCGCCGATAGGTCGAAGACTCCTCCAGGATTCGCAGATCCACGGGTACGAGGTGTTGGGCCCAGCGCACCCAACCCACGTACCCTCAAATCCCACACATAGCCCAGACGTTCTGGACATTGCCCTAGTGCAGGCTGTGCCTTGCCCGGTCTTACTGGAGGTGCTGTATTTGACACGCAGCACCTCCCAGTTCTAGCCACGCTTGACCTCTCCATCACCACCACACCGACGAGACCGTCGAGGCGGCGGATGGATTGGCGTGTTTTTCGCGCAGAATTGGAGCATCTACACCTCGACGGCGAACTATCATCGCCAGCGGGTGTCGAAGCCGCCACCACACTCATAACGGAGCGAATCCGCACCGCAGTGGAGGCGGCAACTACCACAATAAACGTGGCTTCTCGCCGTCGAGAGGAATTGCCACACCATCTGCGCGAAAAACTCGCCCGGAAAAAGAATCTCCGTCGCCTATGGGCCCGAACCCGTTGCCCGCGGGTCAAGCGTGAGCTCATCTGCTTGCAGAGCTGTCGGAGGGAGTGCGGGATTGGCGTGGAGCCGCCTGGGAGGGTGTCATATCCCGGGCCGGCGAACACGATACCGACCTGCACAAACTCAATCGACAGCTCACCAATGCACGACCCCCGGTCTGCCCGTTGCTTGACGAGACGGGCAGACGTCGTTACGCAGCCCAAGACCGGGCAGAAATCCTGGCACAGCACTTGGAGGGGCAATTCACGGCCAATCCAACAGCCGCCGACGCACCCAGCAAAATCGTCGAGCACCACGAGCGAGTCGTACGTCGCGTATGCGATTTCCGTACCGCTCCGTCGCCGGACGTAAACGAAGTGAGCTTCGTTTCGCCCGGCGAGGTAAGGCGGCTCGTCAGCCGCCTGCCGAAGCGCAAAGCGCCCGGAGCGGACGGGATCAGCACCGCAGCGCTCGCACAGCTGCCCCGTAGAGCCCTAGCGTGTCTAGCGAGGCTCTACAACGGCATACTCCGGACCGGCCACTTCCCTACCAACTGGAAGTTGGGTAGAGTCATAGTCCTCCCGAAACCCGGCAAGGACAAGCGCCTGCCGGCAAGCTACCGGCCCATCACTCTGCTCTCGCACGTAGCAAAGTCGTTCGAGCGCCTCCTGCTCCGCCGCCTGAGACCGACTCTGTCGCCTCGCGACGAGCAGTTCGGTTTCAGAGGCGGACACTCGACGACTTTGCAGCTGACGCGCGTGCTCCACCATATGGCTGTCGAGCACAACCGCGGCCACTACACGGTCGGCGTATTTCTCGATATAGAGAAGGCGTTCGACCGTGTGTGGCACGACGGTTTGGTGTCGAAGTTGCTCGACACCAACACGCCGTCAGCATACGTGCGAGTAGTGGACTCGTTCCTCTCGGGCCGGAGCTTCTATGTTTCGGTCGAGAACTGTGACTCTACCACACGCCCAATTGCCGCCGGAGTCCCGCAGGGCAGCTGCATTTCGCCAGCGCTCTACGCGACGTACACAGACGACATCCCCACCTTGAGGGATGAGCTCCGAGAGGGAGAGAGGGATGTCGTCCTCGCTCTTTTCGCCGACGACAGTGCCTTTCTTACGTCGTCTCGCCGAGCCTACGCAGCCGCTCGCAAAATGCAGCGGCTGTTGGACCTGCTCCCCGAGTGGCTGGATAAGTGGCGTACCACCGTTAACGTGGGTAAAACGGTGGCGCTGCTTACCCGCCCCGGGTGCAAATGCCCGCCGCCCCTCTTACTGAGAGGCCAGCCCATCCAGTGGGAGCGCACAGTGCGTTACCTAGGGGTGGAAATCGACCGGTCGCTGCGTATGACGCCGCAGGTGGACCGGGCTGTCACCCAAGCCAAGGCCGCGCGCGCTATGCTGCGACCGGTCTTGCAATCCAGGCTGCAGCTGCGGACGAAAGTAGGCATTTATAAGACCTACATTCGTTCGCGGCTCACATATGCCGCCCCCGCATGGTACGCACTGTGCTCGGCCTCACAGCGGCGGAGACTGCAGGTCCAACAGAACGCCGCCCTCCGTCTGTGCACAAATGCCGGACGGTACGTCCGTAATGACGTGATCGCCCGCGATCTCAAGGTCCCATCGGTGGAGCAGTTCGTCGTCCGGTTGACGCGCGCGATGTTCTCGCGCGCGGACAGCGGGCGCGAAGCGCACCTGCGCGACCTCGCCCCTCTCCACGCGCGCCCACCGGACGCCACTCGCGCGCTCCCGCGCGACTTACTCTCCACCGAGTGATCACGTCATTTACGTGACGTGGCGGCGTTAAAAATTCGGCGAGCGACTTATAGAGTCCCACTCACACGACTCCCTCAGCCGGCTGCTGGGAAGCAGCCGGCTTCCGGCCGGTAAACGAACGACGCTGGGGTGGTATACCCCAGCAGTATGCCCGGGTAAAGAGCGTAAGCTCGGGGCCCGTACCCAGCGGTCCATATAAAGGATCAGCGGACGACCCCATAATAATAAATTCTCATTCATTAAATTACAATAAGTAGGTATTTATTTTTTTAATAGAAGAACTATGTCACTAATGTCATTAATTGCTATAATTACCAGGGTGACCGCGTGGAGGTTGATATAATAGAGTACACTTGTATCAGATCAATCTAATTAATATTTCCCTCTTCAAGTTTCGAAGTTATGAGCGAACAGATAAATATATAGTACTTGCATACCTGTCAAAATCTCTCTATTTTGCCGTCGTCAAGTAAAAATTATGCATTGCAATTCGTTCCAAATAAGAGTATAATACAAAATGATGAAATTTTACTGTTTGCAAAGACTAATTAAAAGCACCATCGAATAATGCGTTGTAATATCCTGTTATCGATTATTCGAAAAAATCGATAAATCTATGCATTTATTTTTAATATGGCAACACTTTCTAAATAAGTATTACTGGAATAATATGGTTTTCTTGTTTAGCTGTTTTATATTTACTTAAACTTTTTTTATGTTTAATTTATCATAATAGTATAGTAAGTACTTATTATTTGAAAATATAAAATAAACATTTAAAATACGGTGATACAAATGAAAACAGCGCCATCTATGAAAGTATTTTGGAAACAATAAGCCCCAATTAGCAATGATTAAATTGTAAACAAATACAGGGCAACAACAAAATGAGTAAATATATGAAAATTACTTTTCAAAACGCATTATTTCATTTTAACATCTATATATGACTTTTTAAAAATAGATTAAACCTTTTTAAAAACATAGTTTTGGGTTTTAAACGATTACAAAACAATGTTGAATTCCATTCGATACCAATGACGCCATCTAAATCCGTTTTTCGAACTAAAAATGGCTACTATGCCATTGATCCCCACTGCTATTACTAACTTCTTTGTTAAAAACCTCTAAAATTAAAATCTAATATAACTGTCCTATAACTGGCTCTTTGCCTCATTTTCAAAACAAATTATAATTATGTTATTATTTTTTTCGAATTTTCCGATCACAAGGAAAGGCAAAAGGACTCTGCCTGTACATTCACTTCGGTATATGTTGTCATTACTATCTGTCAAACATTAAAATGTCACTGTCATTACTGTCAATCAATCTGTCATGTATTATTTACAACAATGGCGTCTGTTTTGTTTACTATTGTTTGATTTTTAGCTTAAACTTGTTTTGAATTTTATTTACGTAAAATGTCGCATAACTACGAGAGTAACATTGCAAATGTGATACATTTATGCCGGACTTGCCTTACCACCGGAGCCAACGTACGTCTAATGACGTATGAAGAAATAAATACGTATAAACTCATAATGAATGAGGTTAGTTTATTTTTAGTAAATTACTTTTTACCGGCGGTTTCGTTTACCCTAAAATATATATAACCTATTAAAAATAGTTAATATATTAAGGAACACAAATTCATTTTATTTTAAATTGAATAACATTTACTTTGAGCAACAGGCAAAGTTTCGTGTTCATTCGTCTTAGCTGAATTTGAATTTCGAATGAGCGGTAAAATAAGAAAATTACTATGCAAAAATACAATATAAATATTTATAATTAAACAAGAGTATCAGTACTGGAATATTTCTAAGATTTTTAAAAAAAAACTTATTAATTCTGTGTAGTTTTGGTACTTCTTTAAATGGCAGCCACGCCATACAGTATACGATTGCGGAGCACCAAAGGACATATTATAAGATTAAGTCAAGGCAGTAGTAGGTCATAGTGACATGTTTACCATAAAGTAAGCATGGACCGGAAGACGCAGCGTGGGAAGGCCTCCAGCAAGATGGACCGATGATCTGGTCAAGATCGCTGGAAGGCATTGGATGCGAGCAGCGCAGGACCGATCGTCGTGGAGATCTTTGGGGGAGGCCTATGTCCAGCAGTGGACGTCTTCCGGGCTGCGATGATGATGATGATGATGAAGCATGGTTTACAAGGCAAGGGTTAACATGACATAACATTGGCAGTTATGGGACCTCTAGGTCCCATTACTTACAATTGTCTGTCTCCCCTTTATAGTTTTGTTATTTAAAATGTAATGGTGCACCTGCCTATTCTAATAGTATATACTAGTGGGATACCAGTGGGTGATGATAAGATGGATATCAGGTCAGGTCATTTAACACATTGTGATGAACTCACTTGGAATTCTTAATGGTCAGCCTGGCCGTTATACATGTAGAGCCGAGACTACCAAAGTAGCCAGCCAAGCTCCTCTCAAGAGCGCAGAAGTCTCCTGTTGTTTCACATCGTCACCATTCCAAGGATCTGTTTTTATTGTGTGACCACAGCAAGCATTCCACGATTGCATGAGCAGCCGTTTCTTCTGCTTCAAAACAGCCCCGATAAAGGGGACAGTCTATAGCACCTATTGTGTACAGGTGTTTGTTTAAGGGAAGGCCACTACCCTTATATCATCCTATCTATTTAACATGTTTAATTAATTATTTCAGTTAAACAACAGTTGGGAAGATTTGTACACTTGTATCAATTGTAGTTTTTTACTCTCAAAGATATCAAAATTCATTAAGCAATGTCGAGAAGCCAATATTCTGTTCAACAAATGTTTGAATCAGGTAAATATTTATATATTATTCTGATATATATTATATAGCGTATGTCTTATACTTACAGTTATAATATTTCTGTCCACAATCTGTATTCTTTCATTTATTTCAAACAGTCAAAATTCATAATTATTTATTTAAATTTATAATTATTTATTTATATATATATAAAAACACAATTTTTATTACATTCTACAGTTGTTGAAGGCTCCTTTTAAACATAAAGATGCCTGTTCCAGGAGGCTCTATTCTTCCATAGCTTACTGTCGCGTACCAAGCAGTAACAAAACGCAATACAAAGGGAGCGTTCTGATTGGACCGCACACCCATCCAATTCAAATACGCAACGTAATGTAACAGACTTAAAATATCAACCGACCGATCTAACGTACTTTTGTTCACTCCACCAAAATTGTAATTTATCACCGTATTTACCCATTAAATTGAAGACTATAAATGAAATCTATCATTTCTACAACCCTGTAATCTGCTGAAGATAACCTCACCGACCATCTGAGCATTCGAGCCGCATCATCACGTACCACTTACATATATCAAACATTAGTAAAATATTTCTAGTTTATTATATTGTAATCTTATATATAAAATTTTCGTGTCACAGTTTTCGTTCCCATACTCCTCCGAAACGGCTGGACCGATTCTCATTAAATTTTGTGAGCGTATTGAGTAGGTCTGAGAATCGGCCAACATCTATTTTTCATCCCCCTAAATGTTAGGGGTAGTCTACCCCTAATTTTTTTTTTATTTTAAGGCAAAACAACGTTTGCCGGGACAGCTAGTTAGTTATATATATGATAATTGTTTATGTCTCCACATAAGCTGTTCTAATTATGACTCCAATAAAAATACATAGATACAGTTTTTTTGTAATAACATTCATAATATACATAGAAAACACCCAGACCAATACAACATACTGATGAATATAAATGCTTGTAGCAGGAATCGAACCCGCGTCAGGTAAAATGGTGTGCTATATCGCTAGACCACTGAGGTTGAGGTTGAGGTTAATATTATAAATGCGAAATTTTATGAGTATGGATGAATGTTTGTTTCTCTTTCACGCAAAAACTACTAAACGGATTTTGATGAAACTTTAGAGTAATATATATACATCAGAACAACACATAGGCTATAATTTTCACCCGGTTGACCGCGGCCACAGCTAATGTAATATAAACCGGATGTATTTTCAGGACTTAAAACCAAAATTAATGAACCCCAAATCAAGATTTAATCTAATCTCAGAAGCACCCGTACATCACTACATAGGTCCAAATTGGGATGCGAGTGATGATGATTTTAACAATGATGATGTGCCGTTGTCGAATTTTGTCAACGGTGATGTAAAAGTGGAGAAGGTTAGGAAGAAGAAGAGGAAGAAATTAAAAAATGAGGTATATATCTTTAAATTAAATAAATAAATAACCCTGGACAGTTAACACAGTGCCACAGCCCAGCGTAAGCAGAGCTTGTGTTACGGGTATTAGACAACTTACATAAATGACCGCATGGTGTTAAGTCCGCCAAATGTACTGTTACTTTTGTACTGTGTGCATTAAAGTTATATAAATAAAATAAATAAATAAATAAATACTTAGATTTTTTTCTCGCACGCACGTAAATACGCTCTCACGCAAACACGCACGCACCCAAACAAGCACGCACGCACCCAAACACGCACGCATGCAATCACGTACGCACGCAAACACACACTCACGCAAACACGCACGCACGCAAACACACACGCACCCACGCACAGTGCCATCTGCACTCGCCCCTACGGTCTGGTGAATCTGTAAAAGCCAGCTGCGGCCAACAGCATTAGAGTAGTCCGAAAAAAAACCATGTAATGCTAAGTTCGTCTCTGTAATATTACTAACTTGATACAAATCCATAATTCATATTCATTTGTGCCACATTTTAAGCAATAAATATATAAATAATATTCATTTCATTTCATTTCGTTTCGTTTCATTTCATTTTAAAAAAAACTTCTTTTCAGGACCCCAAATTAGGAACTGATGAAGAAATGCCTATGAAGGCCGAACAAGATTTAAGTGAATCTAGTCAGGGGCCTGATGCTTACGATATCATCATGGAGGGTCCAACGCCAGAACCTACAAAATCAAGAAGACAGAAGGTAGTAAAAGAGGGTTTTACTTCTAGAATGGTGCAGGAAACAGATGAGTATGTGGTCATCAAGCTGACTAAAGAACAGGTAAGACTGAGTGGTGTATATATTTGTATGACAATTATTTCATATCAAATTTTTGTCTGTCTGTCTGTTTGCTCCGCCTAATCTCTGAAATGGCTAGACCGATATTGACGGGATTTTTATTGGCAGGTAGCTGATGTAATAAGAAATAACTTAGGCTACTTTTATTTTAGAAAAATAAAGTTAATTTCCACGCGGACGAAGTTGCGGGAACAGCTAGTCATCTATAAAAAAAAGTAAATTGGTATATTAACCTGTCTATCTAGACACGCGGGATCGTGTCAAAGCCGAGTTCAAGTAAGAGAACTGGCGAGCAGCGCCGTGTGTAGTTTTATAGAAACCATTTGGAGCCAATAGTTAATTTTAACTAACGTATAACTTTCGTGTTTAATATACCATACCATTTTAATATGCCATAAAATTATTCGTGTTAAGACCCGGTTAATAATTTAAATAATGTACATTTGGAGCGACTTTTGACCCCCTCATAACTCAAAAACTCTTTCACATGAAGCTGTCAAATTTGGTTCATATATTGAGACTTGCGAGATAATAATATAATATCTCAGGACAATTAACGCAGCGCCATCTAGTCCCAAGCTAAGCAGAGCTTGTGTGCTTGGGCGTGGGCAGTATGCTTGTTTGCCACCATCGTAGTATAAAAAAAAATTTGCAAAATACATACACTCTGAAGAAAAATATGTTTTTAAAAGAAAATAAAGTTTTGACCTATGAAATAATTGCAAAGTATACTATTTTTGAACAAGAAATAGTTGATCACCTTACATTAAAACATGATCTTTGTCCAATCTTATTAGTTTGTAATTTTGTTATTGTCAATTTTTATGTTTAATAATAATAATAATAATATCTCAGTACAATTCACACAGCGCCATCTAGTCCCAAGCTAAGCAGAACTTGTGTTATGGGTACTAGACAACTGATATAAATAGATGGATACATTTTTTTTGTAAATAAATACATATTATACATAGAAAACACCCAGACCGATACAAACAATCATACTCATGAATACAAATATTTGTACCATGCGAGGAATCGAACCCACGACCATTAGCGATATGCTATACCACTAGACCACCGAGGCTGACAAAGAGATAAATATGTGTTCCAAATTTCATAGGTATTACAAGAAATGAAGGAGAGATCTAAAAGCATAGAGTACCAGAGGACCTTGTTCAAATGCGAGAAATGCGTCAAAGGATTCAATTTCGAAGATGTCTTAAAATCGCACATGCAGAAACATTCGCAGGTATCTCATCTATACATCTATACATCATCATCATTGCCTTGCCTTTATCCCATTATTTGTGGTCGGCGCAGTATGTCATTCTCTTCCACTGCTCTCTATCAGTCGTCATATCTGAACATACTCTTCTTTTATTCATATCATCTTTCACACAATCCATCCATCTTTTCTGAGGGCGTCCCCTCCCTTTACATCCATCCACATTCATATTATACACTTTCCATAAGACATGGTCCTAGTTCCTCCACATAACATGCTCATACCAACTCAATCTGTTACCTCGCAACTTTCTATTATAGAAAGTTTCGGTTATAGAAAGTTGATACATACGTCTATACATATAAATAAAATTGGAGTGTCTGTTTGTAATATTGAAATAACCGTTTCTTACTACATGCATATGAATATAAATACCGTATATACACCAAAATAACATTTTTTACAATTTTTGTCTGTCTGTTTGTTCCGGTAATCTCTGAAATGCTTTGCTTGGACCGATACTGACGGGACTTTTTTTGGTAGGTAGCTGATGTAATAATTAGTAACTTAGGCTACTTTTATTTTAGAAAAATAAAGTTAAATACCACGCGGACGAAGTCGCGGGAACAGCTAGTCTTATCTTATATATAAAATTCTCGTGTCACAATGTTAGTTACCATACTCCTCCGAAACGGCTTGACAGATTTTTATGAAATTTTATCTGCATATTCAGTAGGTCTGAGATTCGGCTACTATCTATTTTTCATACCCCTAAGTGATAAGTCCACCCCTAACATTATTTTTTTATCATTTGGGCAAAATATTTTATTTCTATTTATTTATAATGTGGCATTAAAAATAAATAGGACACCAAATTTTTGTCTTTCTACCCTCAACCCCTATTTTTAAAAGCCGTTTTAATTTGTGAACAGAACAATGTTTGTGACGTCAGCTAGTCTAAATATATATAACTCAAAGGTGACTGACATAGTGATCTATCAACGCACAGCCCAAACCACTGGACGGATCGGGCTGAAATTAGGCATGCAGGTAGATGTTATGACGTAGGCATCGGTTAAGAAAGGATTTTGATTAATTCTACCCCCAAGTGGATAAAATAGGGGATGAAAGTTTGTATAAAACTTTGTCAATTTTAAACCGATCGGGCTGAGATTTTGCAAGCATAAAGCTACTATGACGTAGGCATCCCCTAAGAAAGGATTTTGATTAATTCTACCCCCAAGGGAATAAAATAGGGGATGAAAGTTTGTATGAAACTTTGTCAATTTTAAACCGATCGGGCTGAGATTTTGCATGCACAAAGCTACTATGACGTAGGCACCCCCTAAGAAAGGATTTTGATACATTCCACCCCTAAGGGGATGAATTAACGCGAGCGAAGCCGCGGGCAAAAGCTAATATAAATTGAAATAATCTTTATTTAAATACAATCCTTGCAGGTATAAGTTAAACACATATTTCAGTAAACGCTTATATTGACAGTTCTACAATAATACATAGAATTTCGAAATGAATTGAAATTATTGTTATTTTGAGTGCGCGCAGATGATAATGTAATGGTGCACCCGCCTGCGCTAACGGTTTACGCTGGCGGGGCACCAGTGGAGGATGATAAGATGAGAGGTCAGGTCAGTTAGCACATCGTGACAAATTCACCAAGAATTAATCACGATGGTAGGGGGGAAGGGTATTGTCAGTAATGTGGACTAATGATCCCATTGCTAGCAATGTACCATGTCAGATCGACCTCCACGCGGTTCCCCCTGGAAACCATCGTGATACATTCCCGAGAATTTGTCACGTTGGGCTAACTGATCTGACTTCATGTATCATCCTCCACTGGTGCCCCGCCAGCGTAAACCGTTAGCGCAGGGGGGTGCACCATTCCATTATCATCATTAAAAAAAAAAATCACGATGGTAGCGGATTGTTAGAGTAATTGTCTATCATGGTATGGACATGTAATGCGTAGGAACGAGGATATTTTAAGAAAGGTGTTATATATGAATGTGGATGGTTATAAGGGCAGAGGAAGGCCGAAAAAGAGATGGATGGACTGTGTGAAAGATGATATGGTAAGAAAGGAAGTAAATAACGAGATGACTGCGAACAGGGATGAATGGAAGAGAAAAACATATTACGACCACAAATAAATGGGATAAGGAAGAAGCAGATGATGATGATAGCGGATTGTTAGTAATGTGGACTAATGACCCCATTACTAGCAATGTACCATGTCAGGTTGACTTCCACGCGGTTCCCCCTGGAAACCATCGTGATAAATTCATGGCGAATTTACCACGATGGACTAACTGACCTGACCTCATGCTCACCTTATCATCCTCCACTGGTGCCCCGCCAGCGTAAACCGTTAGCGCAGGCGGGTGCACCATTACATTATCATCCATAAAAAAAAACTCCCGTATGTGCGGCCCTGCACATCGCTTCCTCCAACCTTGTACATATATATTACACGTTGTAGTTGTTTATATTATAACTAAAGAGAACTAAATACTATTTCATACTTTCTTATGATTTACATTTGGTTTTCTTTCAGGAAAATGGTACATATTTATGTGAAATATGTACACAATACTGCCCGAGCGTCGTTTCACTGCGTGGCCATATGAAATCACATACTACCAGGTAATATGATATACCAGTTGTTACCTGAAGGCTTTTAAAATGCTTTCTTTTCTAAATCTTGACGACCTCGGTGGTCTAGCGGTCTAGCACACCGCTTTGCGTCCGATGGTCGCGGGTTCGATTCCTCGCACGGCGCAAACATTGGTATTCATGAGTATGATTGTTTGTATCCGTCTAGGTATTTTCTATGAAAATTATGTATTTATTTACGAAAAAAAAATATTATCTATGTATTTGTATCAGTTGTCTAGTACCCATAACACAAGCTTTAGCTAGCTTAACTTGGGTCTAGATGGCGCTGTGTGAATTGTCCTGAGATTATTATTATTATTAATCTAGTAGTAACAATCTTCTATATACATGAACGATCCGAGGTTCCAATCCCCAGCGGTGCCCACAACAGGGAAGTTGGCCTTCACAGCTTCACCGGACGATAGGTGGCGAGTGCAGATGGCACTTAAAACCACAGGAAGAACTTATGGAGCGGCTGAAGGACAACTGCTATGAGAATTGTCGATGATCCCAATCTCTCTAACGGTATCGAACCACTTAGCTTGAGGCGAGACTTCGCATAGCTTTGTGTGTTCTACCGAATATACAACGGACTGTGTTCTGATGAATTGTTTGACATGATGCCTACGGCCACCTTTCACCACCGCACCGCTCGCCATCGACAGGGAATTCATCCCCACACGCTGGAACCTAAGTGGTCTCGGACAGTGCGGTTTCAGAGGAGCTTCCTCCCGCGTACACTTAGATTGTGGAATGAACTACCTGCCGAGGTTTTCTCGAGAGACTACAGCATGGGGGTTTTCAAGAAGGGTATATTAAGGTTTCTTAAGGGTCGGCAACGCGCATGTGACACCCCTGGTGTTTCAGGCGTCCATAGGCTACGGTAACCGTTTACCATCAGATGGGCCGTATGCTTGTTTGCCACCTAAGTGGTATAAAAAAAAAAAGCAACTCCCGCCTGACGGATACGACGCCAGTCTGAGCGCACCACTAGGAGTTCGAACCTCGGCTCAGGCCGTCGTAATTTCGATATCCGTTTGAAAATTCAACATTCAAAAATCATTTATTCTTGTAGGACATTTTAGCCGCTTAGGAACGTCAAGTTTTTACATTATAATTTTTTTTCCCTACCGTCCAGTTCGGTATATAGATCCAATTGAGAAGAACTGGCAAGAAACTCAATTGAATTACTTTTTTTTTAAATCCAATTTTATTGAATTTAAAAAAAAAGTATTGAATTACAATGCTTGATCATCACGGGCACATGATAACGTGATGTCCATAGTGCTGTTCATGTATATAGGCGACGGTTACCATATACCATCAGGCGGGACTTATAGATGATAATAGTGCACCCGCCTGCGCTAACGGTATGCGCTGGCAGGGCACCAGTGGAGGATGATAAGATGAGCATGAGGTCAGGTCAGTTAGCACTTTGTGATAATTTCACCAAGAACATACGACAACCTCGATGGCTAGGAGTGTGAAGTGTAGTGAAGTGTAGTGAAGTGAAGTGAAGTAGAAATAGAAATAGAAATAGAAATAATCTTTATTCAAATAAACTCATTACAAGCACTTTTGAATAGTCATATTTTGATTCTACCACTCATTCGGAATGCAGATTCATCACAAGAAGAACGAGCAAGAAACTTGTGTGTTGCTCTTTTTAATAGATGTTTTTTTTTTACATATATAAATAATTACAGTGTAACAAGTAAGAGGCATGCGACAATCAACATAGAAATCGCTACGCACTCATTATTAGTGTAATCAGATAATATTGTCAGTGCTATGTATTTAAAATTTTTCTACAAAAACATTAGTGAAGTGAATGATGCAATATAATATGACTCTGGTGTTTTTTATAAATAAATTATTTATATGTATAGATATTCGTGCAAAGTGTGCAGGCTGCAGCGCGGATCGAGGCAACACTTGCTGGAGCATCACTCGCTCGCGCACACCGCACTTGCTGCGCACTATCGCTGTCGACGCTGCACTTACACTACCCAGTGAGTTATGTTACGTTTACATTCAGCCGCGTCCCCTGCCACTCGCGCTGCCGGATATATTGCGCGTCCAGTGACCAGTCCCCACAAGCAGCACTCGTTCACGAGTATGACGAATGGGTTCACGAGTATGACGGATGGGTTCACGAGTATGAAGGATGAGTTCACTTGTATGAGGGATGGGTTCACGAGTATGACGGATGGGTTCACGAGTATGAAGGATGAGTTCACTTGTATGAGGGATGGGTTCACGAGTATGAGGGATGGGTTCACGAGTATGACGGATGGGTTCACGAGTATGACAGATGAGTTCATTGTATGAGGGATGGGTTCACGAGTATGACGGATGGGTTCACGAGTATGACGGATGGGTTCACGAGTATGACGGATGAGTTCACTTGTATGAGGGATGGGTTCACGAGTATGACGGATGGGTTCACGAGTATGACGAATAGGTTCACGAGTATGACGGGTGTGTTCACGAGTATGACGGATGGGTTCACGAGTATGACGGATGGATTCACGAGTATGACGAATGGATTCACTAGTATGACAGATGGATTCACGAGTATGACGGATGGATTCACGAGTATGACGGCTGAGCTATGTTTATTTGCAGTAAGCGCACCGTGATGCAGCGTCACGCGAGGTCTCACGGACCCCGGGAGAGGCTCGCCTGCCCGCGCTGCGGGAAGCTGTTCCTCAACGTGGAAACGCTGCGTGTCCACACCACGTGAGTAATGAAATGAAAATAACATTTTTTACAATTTTTGTCTGTCTGTCTGTTTGTTCCGGCTAATCTCTAAAATGGCTAGACCGATTTTGACGGGACTTTTTTTGACTGGTAGCTGATGTAATAAGGAGTAACTTAGGCTACTTTTATTTTAGGAAAATACAGTTAAATTCCACGCGGACGATGTTCGCGGGGACAGCTAGTCTATACATATAAGTAAAATTGGAGTGTCTGTTTGTAATATTGAAATAACCGTTTTTTACTACATGCATATGAATATAAATACGGTACATACACTAAAATAACATTTTTTACAATTTTTGTCTGTCTGGTAGTGTTCTGTGAATTTAACTTTACTTTTCTAAAATAAAAGTAGCCTAAGTTACTCCTTATTACATCAGCTACCTGCCACAAAAGTCCCGTCAAAATCAATTCAGCCATTTCTATCCACGAGTATAACAGAAGTGTTCACTAGTATGACAGATTGGTATCACTTACCATCAGGTGAGCCGCAAGCTCGTTTTTTATACTATAAAAACAACTTTTTTTTCTTCAGACGTCACGACAAATCGAAGCGGTTACAATGTGAACAGTGCAACAGGATGTTCATTTATCCATCGATGCTGCACAAGCATATACAGGCTGTTCACGTAAGGAAGGATTACTATTGCGTGGAGTGTGACATCAAATTTAAATCAAGGGTAAGTATTTGGATTTTGTTGAATGGTAAAAAGTATAAGGTTAGTTACCTTATATTTTTTACCCTTTGTCGCGTACAGCAAGCAGCAACAAAACGCAAGCAAGAGAGCGTTCTGATTGGAGCGCACACCCATCCAATTTAAATACGAAAAGTAACGAAGAGACTTAAAATATCAACCGATCGATCTAACGTACTTTTGTTCACTCCACCAAATTTGTAATAAATAGTATATTTGCCATTAAATTCGAGACTATCAAGCGAAATCTATCATTTATTCACCCCGTAATCTGCTGAAGACAACCTCACTGTTACGAGTATATATGACCTACTTATTAATTTGTGATTTAATATATTACGAGTAATAGTTTAGTTGTCAAATATAGATTGACATCATTGTAAATATATTATAAAAAGAGACAATACAATTATTCTGCAAACATACATATTATTATTATTTAACACATCTCAACAAAAAAAACCGACCATCTGAGCATTCGAGACGCATCACCACGTACCACCCTTCAAAACATTAAATATATCTATATTAACTAGTTTTAACATTATATCTCTATTAACTCTATATATATTAACTAGTATTGGCAAACGTTGTTATTATATGAAATCTCTTAATAAAAAATAGGGGTTGGTTTGTTTTTTTATATTTATTTATCTAAATATATATAACTCAAAGGTGACTGACATAGAGATCTATCAACGCACAGCCCAAACCACTGTATGGATCGGGCTGAAATTTGCCATGCAGGTAGATGTTATGACGTAGGCATCCGCTAAGAAAGGATTTTGATTAATTCTACCCCCAAAGGGATTAAATAGGGGTTGAAAACTTGTGTGCAATTTTGTCAATTTTAAACCGATCGGGCTGAGACTTTGCATGCAAAAAGCAACTATAACGTAGGCATCCCCTAAGAAAGGATTTTGATAAACAAACGCGAGCGAAGCTGCGGGCAAAAGCTAGTTAGCATATAAAACAGATTACAATCAATACAATAATATAATTAGGAGCGTATAGTTTGGTACAAAACTGGATTGTAATACAACATTTTTACCTTACCTCTATTACCATATCTAGTTATCTACCGTATATTGAATCCCATCAAAAACATAAATGTGAAATGATAGCCGAGTTTAATATTATGATATATGGCTTAATTGTTGACTTCTACGACAAAAGAAGTGAGATCTAAATGGGTGCCAATTCAATGGTCTGTCCTGAAATGTATTTATAACAATATAAAATATCATTTCTTCTTATAACTTAGGATAATATACTGTAGCCTAAGGTCTAACTAGTTTTCATATACGAAATATACTGTAGCCTTCGCAAGTTCTAAACATGTTATTTGTCGGTTCCTATTTTATTATTAGTAGTAACTAGCAATCGAAAGTAATAATTGGTATATGAGAATTTAGGCTACAGTATATTATCCTAAGTTATAAGAAGAAATGATATTTTATATTGTTATAAACACATTTCAGGACAGACCATTGAACTTGGCACCCATTTAGATCTCATCTCTTTTGTCGTAGAAGTCAACAATCAAGGCATATATCATAATATTAAACTCGGCTATCATTTCACATTTATGTTTTTGATGGGATTCAATATACGGTAGATAACTAGATAAGGTTATATAATGAAAAGTAAACTAAATAGAAAATAATAGATATAAAATTCTCGTGTCACAATGTTACCATTCACCTCCGAAATGGCTAGATTTATGAAATTTGATATGCATTTACCAGTAGGTCTGAGAATAGAATAGAAAATCATTTATTCAAATAAACTTACTATATACATTGACATTGTTGTAAAATCTTATCTACCTGTTAGGTGTATATACGGCCTCCTCACCGATTACGTTTTTAATAATAGTTGTTGTCAAATATAGATTGACATTGTTGTAAAAGAAAATTATAAAAAAATGCAATAGAATTATTCTGCAAACATACATATTATTTATTATTTAACACATCTCAACAAAAAAGAACCCCACCACAACACTACCGCTCATTCGGAAAGCTGTATCATCACAAGAAGAACGAGCGAGAAACTTGCGTGTTGCTCTTTTAAATAATTTTATTATTACTTACAATTTAAGTTTAAGTAAGAATAAAATTATTTAAATCGGTTCAGTAGTTTTGACGTGATAGCGAGACAGACAGACTGAGTTACTTTCTCATTTATAATATTAATAAGGATTTAGTTTTAGTTATAATAATTGGGATTTTAAGTTATTTTTTACTTAATGACTATTTAAAAGTGCGTAAATTTAAGTTTATTTGGGTTTTATTTTACAGGATAACTTAAGACTACATTTCAAGAAAGCAAAAAGACACCGAGATGCAGTCTCTCATCAGTAAGTATTTAACATATAACAGTAATATCTCAGGATGTTGTGTTGACCTGAATATCAGCGCCATCTACCTGGTCCAATGGTATTGTCAAACCTGATTGGTGCACCAGTATACGCATTGTATTGTAATGAAATTAAATCTAATAAAAATATATTAATAATAATAATAATCTCAGGACAATTCACACAGCGCCATCTAGACCCAAGTTAAGCTAGCTAAAGCTTGTGTTATGGGTACTAGATAACTGATACAAGTACATAGATATTTTTTTTTTCGTAAATACATACTTATTATACATAGAAAACACCCAGACCGATACAAACAATCATACTCATGAATACAAATGTTTGTGGCGTGCGAGGAATCGAACCCGCGACCATCGGACGTAAAGCGGTGTGCTAGACCGCTAGACCACCGAGGTCGTCAAAATATATTAAATTAAATTATATAAATAAACAACAAACTAACAATATTTTTTTTTATTAATAAGTTTACGGCTCTGGATACAAATCCTTTTTAGCCCATATATAAGAGACGTTATTGTCAATTTACAAATCAAACAAATATTTACTATTAATGAACAATATTCTTTTGCAGAACACGCTCTTTGGGCCGATAGTAATGGATAACTCGGGTCTATATATAACGCCGCCCGGTTTCACACGTCGCAGGTAAAGTAAAATAATATTTATTCATATAGGACAGTCATGTCAAAGATATGGCTCCTGGTCTATCTATAAGGCTCGCGATCATATATTTGTCTCATAATTACATATTGCAACTATAAATTGAGATGTAAGCTATCCTATCTTTCAAGTTGGATCAAATTGCACGCAATGTGCGCTCAGACTGGCGTCGTATCCTTTTGACGGGACTTGTCCTTCAGCCGTTCCATAAGTCGTTCCTTTGGTTTGGAGTGCCATCTCCACTCGCCTCTATCGTCCGGTGAAGTTGTAAAGGCCAGCTAGGGATAACAGCATTAGAATAGTAAAAAAAAGGACTTACGGAGCGGCTGGAAGTCAACTCCCAGCTGACCGATATGACTTCAGTCTGTGGGCACCGCTAGATGTTCAAACCTTGGTTCAGGCCGTCGTTATTTCATGTCTGTTTGAATTAAACGGCAGATTTATCGGAGATGCAACTAGGAGCGCCTGGTTGATTGCACTGGATTATGTTGTTGAGGTCGTCGTCTTCCCCAGCGAGGACGGTGTCGTGTCGTGGTGATAATATATATATACATTTGTATTGTTACAGAAAGAAGAAATTATCTCGTCAGCTTCTAAAATATTAAGTAATAATAATATTGATTACTTAAAATGCAGTGTCGATAATTAATAATATTATAAAAAGACAAATAAAGTATTTTTTTTTGTAGTTGAGTAATTATTTATATGTAGTACAATAATAGTTATTCCTTGTGAGTCTGGAGTGTGAACTAGAGCGAAACCTGCATCTAGATCATTAATTTTTTATCTCACTTCACTTCGCTTTTTTTTAAATAACTCGATAACGGTAAGAGATATGAAAAAATGTTTTAACTAAAAGTTGTAGAGAATAAAAATCTGCACAAAACGGGTAATAATTAGTATAGAAACTAAATCTTATATATAAAATTCTCGTGTCACAGTTTTCGTTCCCATACTCCGCCGAAACGGCTTGACCGATTCTCATGAAAATTTGTGAGCGTATTGAGTAGGTCTGAGAATCGGCCAATATCTATTTTTCATCCCCCCAAATGTTAGGGGTAGTCCACCCCTAATTTTTTTTTTATTTTAAGGCAAAACAACGTTTGTCGATACAACTAGTAAATATATAAAAAATTGGGAAATCTAACTCTGCACACAAATTCGGGGAAACGAGGAGCGCTAAACTACGTCGACCCCAAACAAATGGGTTACTGAAGAAGCAGATGATGATGATGATGATGAAGGAGCGCTAATCTGGGTCTCAGGCCCCGTTCAAGTATTACGTAAGCAGATTTATTACAATTATTTACCCCCATCCCCCTTGTCAGCAAAAGCAAACAAAGCTCCCAATACACAATTTATAGACAATGTCTTTCGAAAGCGATGGAATCGAAATAAAATTGAAATGATGACAAATGCTGGTGTTATATATGATCGATTCAAACTCAATTGTAATAGTAATACGAGGTATATTTATTTATTTATTTATTTAACTTCAATGCACACAATATACAAAATATAGTAAAGTACATAAAGGTTGCCTGTAAGATATTGCTTAGCGATAAGGCAATATACATATTTTTAATATTAATATTTCTGTAACTGTACATATGTAAAAATAAATACATATGGCGGACTTAACACCATGCGGCATTTTCTACCAGTCAACCATAGGTGAGAATGGCGGAGAAATAAATAAATGATAAATACAATATATATCTAAGGAATACAAATATAATAAATATATATAATACAATATATATCTAATTACGTAAACATTTTTCAATGAATACAATCATAATATATCTAATAAATATATTAATAAAAATATATGTAACAGTAAAATACCTATATACTTATAATAGACTTCCTCCACCCATGATTACTTAAACATTTTTCAATTAATGTATTTTTTTGCAAAGACAATGTTGAAAAAAAGTAAATAACTACCGATGACGTAATCGTCATCTGATATCAGAATTAGTGATAATAATCACAGCCGAGAAGGAATTAAAAAAAAATACAATTTCTTATAAAATATTACACTATTATTAAATACTACACTATTGGTTATTACACACTATATACACACTATATTAAGATGGCTACAAATTATATATATATGTTGTCCCGAACAGTGCGGTTTCAGAGGAGCTTCCTCCCGCGTACACTTACATTGTGGAATGAACTACCTGCCGAGGTTTTCTCACGAGACTACAGCATGGGGTTTTTTAAGGATATTAAGGTTTCTTAAGGGTCGTGTACACGTTATACCCCTGGTGTTTCAAGCATCCATAGGCTACAGTAACCAAATACCATCAGATGGGCCGTATGCTTGTTTGCCACCATCTTAGTATAAAAAAAACTTGAACGGCTACTGTAGTTTGTGTGTACATTAAACATGAATTGCTATAAATAAAAACACAATAAATTTTTTTTTTAGATTTCATTTTTTTTATTAATAAAAAAATAAACTGTTATTAATTCATTAAATGTGTACAATATTTTCTGTACTTTATAACAATATATAATTAAACTTTACAATATTTACAATACGCAATCCATTAGCTTTTTATAAAAGCTCACATCTTAATATCTGAATCATTACATAGTATAGAACAGTCGCTGTCGCTGTCTGTCCCTATATATGCTTAAATCTTTAAAACTACGCAACGGATTTTGAAGCGGTTTTTTTTAATAGATAGAGTGATTCTAGAGGAAGGTTTATATGTATAATAGGCGAGTAGTTAGTAACATTATAAACGCAAAAGTTCGTAAGTTAGTATGTTTGTTAATCTTTCACGCAAAAACTACGGAACGGATTTTTATGAGACTACACAATTCACTAGCTTCTCGCCCCGGCTTCCCACAGGTGTACATGTATTATGTATAAACCTTCATGATCACTTTATCTACTATCTATTAAAAATATATTTTTAACATTAACTTCCAATAATAGGTACTGGGAATCAAAAATGCACACTGACCTTGTCGCCAAACTTGCACAATCTTCGTTCCCGGGAACTTTCGGCAGAATTACCACACTGCACTGCTTTTCATGAACTCATTATGATACACATACAGTCTTTTCTTGTTTTGTTGTATTTTATTTGAAAATTATAACAGAATTATTTTAATATTGAATTAATGATTTGATGCGATGGCGGCAATGCGAACAAGTAACCCGCCTTTCTTTTTTTTTTTTTAAGTGCACGGCTATAGACTCCCAGTATGAGGCAAAGACCAGCGCGAACACTATGTAATGATGATGATACATCAGAATAACATATAGGTTATAAATTTAACGCGGGAAGAGCTAGTATACAGTATTCTGAATACATTAAATAAAACTAATTCAATATTACATTTGAAATTATTGCCTTAAAATGTCTAATAGGCAAGACATTTCTGGAATGGTAGCGCATGATTATGCTTAACATGATAACGTGACATCCAATGTCAAAAAGGCATGACATCTTTGGAATGACAATGCGTGATCATCACGGGCACATGATAACGTGATGTCCGTAGTGCTGTTCATGTATATAGGCGACGGTTACCATTTACCATCAGGCGGGACTTATGGTGCACCCGCCTGCGCTAACGGTATACGCTGGCAGGGCACCAGTGGAGGATGATAAGATGAGCATGAGGTCAGGTCAGTTAGCACTTTGTGATAATTTCACCAAGAACATACGACAACCTCGATGGCTAGGAGTGTAGCACACCACCTTACTTCATATGGTCGCAGGTTCGATTCCTCGCGTGATACAAACATTTGCATTCAAAAGTATGATTGTTTGTATCGGTCTGGGTGTTTTCTATGTATAATATGAATGTATTACATATTATACATAAAAAACACCCAGACCGATACAATCATACTCATGAATACAAATGTTTGTACCGTGCGAGGAATCGAACCCGCGAACATCGGAAGTAAAGCGATGTGCTAAACCTTTGAACCACCGTGGATTATTATCCAAGTAAGTATCCTTTTATATATGTACAATATATAACAACAAACTGTCTTTTCTTTTACCGGTCACCCCCACAGAAAGGGACTTTCAGCCCCCTTGGGGTTTCATCCAGTTTGTAACAACTATGAACCCACTACCCCCGCGAAAGCCATTGTCATTCCTTCCTCATGCAGCTCCGCTTCTCCAAAACGATCATATTCTTCAGTGCAGACGCTATAGTGTACCTTAACTCGTGGAATTTACTTATAGATAATCTATATGTGTTTGTTTGTCCGTTTGTAAGCGTTAACATTAATATCACATGGGTATCTCTTCGCATGATCTCTTTAGATCTTTCAGGATCGGCGTTTTCTGAAGCTATGTTGGATTGACTGAAAATGAGAGAGTAGAAAAATATATTAAGAGCTTTTTGGTAATTTACAACCCCGATTTCAACCCCTTAAAGGTTGAAAGGAGGGTGGGGGTTGTTAGTTATGTAAACTAGTGGTTCCAGTAATATAATATCCTTGGACAATTCACACAACGCCATCTGGTGGTTTACAACCCCGATTTCAACCCCTTAAAGGTTGAAAGGGGGGTGGGGGTTGTTAGTTTTGGAAACTAGTGGTTCCAGTAATATAATATCCTTGGACAATTCACACAGCGCCATCTGGTGGTTTACAACCCCGATTTCAACCCCTTAAAGGTTGACAGGGGGATGGGGGTTGTTAGTTACGGAAACTAGTGGTTCCAGTAATATAATATCTTTGGACAATTCACACACAACCATCTAGTGGTTTACAACCCCGATTTCAACCCCTTAACGATGGGGGTTGTCGGATTACACGATACTCTATTGTAAAAAAATCCGGATTATAGGGGACCCTTAGGCAGTACTCTATAATCCGACAAATTCGATGGTCCGACGCTGCCCTGCAAAACGTTTGTCGGATAACCGGGGGTCCACTGAACAGAGATTAAGTGCGTAGCGGTTTCTATGTTGATTGTCGCATGCCTATTCCTTGTTATTAATTAAATATAAGTAAATCAATATTTATTTAAAAGAGCAACACACAAGTTTCTTGGTTATTCTTCTTGTGATGAATCTGCATTCCGAATAAGCGGTAGAATAAAAAAACTTGACTATTCAAAATTGCTTATATTAAGTTTATTTCTATTTCTATTTCTACTGTATTTCAGTTGCGCTGCCAATACAATATGTTTACATGCATATACAGCCATAAGTTTAAATCTCAATGAAAACTAAATTACCTTAAGGAAAGATCTATTCTCCACTGCAAGTTCACGAGGCCGGGCTTCGTTCTCAAATGTTTCGGTATATTTTCGTACATCTTTTCCAAACATAGCAGTGAGGTCAACTCCGCAACGCAGTCTGGACTGAATCTGCAAACAAATTCTTGATTATTTCTATTTATTTCTATTGTAGGGTTTGGACTATTGTCAGGTACTTTAGACCAGGTTAGGGTAACCGAAACTATCGGATATCAAAAAAATATACGTAACCGTAATCGAATCCGAAATAAAAGTTTCGGATAATATCGGATAGGGGCGGAAACTAATTGAGACACATTATATAACCATTTTATTAGCTACTTGTATTTTACTTTGAAATTCCTTAAAAATATTATATCATTAACCGAAATTATCCGAAAGTAACGTATATTCCGAAATAATCTAGACACGCGGTAGCGTGTCAAGCCGAGTTTCAAGTAAGACAACTGGCGAGCAGCACCGTGTGTATATTTACACGAACCATTTGGAGCCACTTTTGACCCCCTCATAACTCAAAAACTCTTTCACATAAACCTGTCAAATTTGGTTCATATATTGTTCATATACAAAATATTATTTCTTCTTATAACTTAGGATAATATACTGTAGCCTAAGGTCTAACTTGGCTAGTTTTCATATACGAAATATACTGTAGCCTTCGCAAGTTCTAAACATGTTACTTGTCGAATCCTATTTTAATATTAGTAGTAACTAGCAATCGAAAGTAATAGTTGGTATATGAGAACTGGCCAAGTCAGACCATAGGCTACAGTATATTATCCTAAGTTATAAGAAGAAATGATATTTTATATTGTTATAAATACATTTCAGGACAGACCATTGAACTTGGCACCCATTTAGATCTCATCTCTTTTGTCGTAGAAGTCAACAATCAAGGCATATATCATAATATTAAACTCGGCTATCATTTCACATTTATGTTTTTGATGGGATTTCATATCCGCGACCATATCCGGTATAATAATCATTCCTATATTCGAAACGTATCCGTATCCGAAATTTTATATCCATAACATCCCTGATTTTAACTCACTGGGTAGTGTAAGTTTGTTGGGTACTTTAGACCTGTAGCACTTGAACCTGTCTAAATGTATTGTGTATTCAGACAAAAGAGACAAAAAAAATAAAAAAAAAGTAAAAAATATATATAAACAGAAAAACAAAAAAAAAATATTAACTGCGGGAAGCCACAATGTATGTTATTCGCGGGGAGCAATGAAGGCGTGGAAAGAAAATATAATAGAAAGATAGGATTAAAAAAAATTGCAAAAAAGGGCATGGACCTTCAGTCTATGGAAATAAGGGCGTAAAAAAATGTATTGTGATCACTATTTTTCAAAATTCACTTTCATTTGCATATAGATAAGTATTTTCAGTTTATAAATATAGATATAGATTAGAAGGTATTTTTTTTTATAAAACCTAAAGGCTATAATTCGGTGCTTTAGATTGTAACACTGCGACCTGCATAGATCTATTGTGCTCGCCCTTTTTCAAAGTTCGCTACCTAGACCCGTCAGGGACAAGAACTGAAGGATATTCTTAGAAGCGATGGTGATGATTTTATCTCCTCAGATAGAGTGTGTACTTTCCAAAGGAGATATTTCGAAAAAAAGTTGTTATTACAATTTTTATGAAATAGAAATAGAAAATAATCTCTATTCAAATAAACTTAATGTAAGCACTTTTGAATAGACAAGTTTTTTTATTCTACCGCTCATTCGGAATGCAGATTCATCACAAGAAGAATAAGCAAGAAACTTGTGTTGGTCTTTTAAATAAATATTGATTTAATTATATTTCCATTAACAAGGATTAGGCATGCGACAATCAACATAGCAACCGCTACGCACTTTATCTCTGTTCTACGTTGATTTCAACTATAGTTTGTTTACTAGCGAAATTGGAATGCACTACTCTTGCACACATGCGCTGCGCTACGCTCTTAGAGTGTAGGTTTCCCTCTTGAATAAAATGAGTGCCCTTCAGAATAGAGTGGGTGCCCTCCGGAATGGAGTGAGTGCCCTCCGGAATGGAGTGGGTGCCCTCTGGAATGGACTGAATGCCTTCCGGAATTAAGTGAGTGCCCTTCGGAATGGAGTGGGTGCCCTCCGGAATTAAGTGAGTGCCCTTCGGAATGGAGTGGGTGCCCTCCGGAATTAAGTGAGTGCCCTTCGGAATGGAGTGGGTGCCCTCCGGAATTAAGTGAGTGCCCTTCGGAATGGAGTGGGTGCCCTCCGGAATTAAGTGAGTGCCCTTCGGAATGGAGTGGGTGCCCTCCTGAATAAAGTGGATGCTCTCCGGAATGAAGTGAGTGCCCTTCAGAATGGAGTGGGTGCCCTCCTGAATAAAGTGGATGCCCTCCAGAATGCAGTGGGTACCCTTCAGAATGGAGTGGGGGCCCTCCGGCATAGAGTGAGTGCCCTTTGGAATGGAGTGGGTACCCTCTATGAGTGCATCCACATGTGTAATTATAATTTGAAGTAATAAAAATCTAATAAAATCTCCTACAATCACTCAATTTAATTATCTAATCATAAAATTTTGATCAAAACCACATAGACTTGTATGAGATGCTATCGTGGCAGATGCTATATTGCCATCATCAGTACCGTGATCAAAGAGACAATTTATATTATTATTGTATATTAATAATAACATCATTGATATTATAATTAATTTTATGTTAATCCCTAAGGTTCTTACAATATGGGGCTGAAAAAAAAATACATATAAATCTCACCTTAACCCTTCTAAAAAAGTTTTAATATCTTCCTGACTCCAGGCCTCCTTGGTAGCAGAGCGTGACCTGGTGACGTGTCTCACCACAGACCGGACCGCTGAGAACTTGTCCGCGTTCATTAAACTAGATGTCCTACTGTCAGGATTACCTTCCAACTCTTTCAGGGCCACTGAAAATGTTAAAATTCAAGATTCTTTATTTGTAAAACACACGCCGTCAAATTGCTGATATCATTTACTTGATCAAAGTAGCCTCCGGCGTCATAGACTGTCCAGAGTTACTTTCAAAATTTAATTTTAATGTACCAGCTAAACGTACCAGATTTACCCCTTCTATTTCTATACCTTCTGTATCTAACTATAGGCAAAACAGTTATATGTGGAGAGCAAGTAATAACTTCAATAGATTAAGTAGGGTGTTAGATATTGATTTGTTTTCCGATAGAATATCTTTAGCGATGATGAGCATAGTTATAAGTATTGAATTTAATGTTACTTATATGCATTTCTATTATTCAAAAAAGCTTACTATAAAATTGAAGAATTCGTTAACGATTTATTTATTTATTTATTAGAAAACCAACAGCTTACAATCTAATACATTAATCAAAAGTACATATCTAAATAACAGGTTTTCAGTGAATGAGCAAAAGAAAATAAAACAAACAGAATAAGGATTAATTTAAAAGTTACAACCGATAATAATGTTTTTGTAGAAAAATTTTAAATACATAGCACTGACAATATTATCTGATTACACTAATAATGAGTGCGTAGCGATTTCTATGTTGATTGTCGCATGCCTCTTACTTGTTACACTGTAATTATTTATATATGTAAAAAAAAAACATCTATTAAAAAGAGCAACACACAAGTTTCTTGCTCATTCTTCTTGTGATGAATCTGCATTCCGAATGAGTGGTAGAATCAAAATATGACTATTCAAAAGTGCTTGTAATGAGTTTATTTGAATAAAGATTATTTCTATTTCTATTTCTATTTCAAAAATGTTTGTTTGTTAATTTCAGCATATGTTTTAATTTAGTGGATTGTTATTGTTTGATATATGATTTTATGAGTAAACAAACACGCCTCTCGTGTTAGCACTGTAATTTATATACGTTTCTATTCGTGAAAACCTATAAGTGGCCGTTATCATTTAATTATGTTTATAACTATGTTTGTAAATAGCCTTGGTTTTCCGAAAGTAAATAAATAAATAAAACATTGGCAAAACATATTTACGAAAAAAATTTATGTATTAGGTTTTAGATATTTATTCTCATTAAGAATTACAAATAATTCACTTAACATGAGAACTAAAAGCATAAACTTATACAAAATTAAATATTAGTGGAAATACAAAAGAACACATGCTTTCAATTTGTACCTAAAGATTAGCTGGTAGAGAATGCCATATGGCATTAAGCTCGCCTTTTGTACTTTTGTTGTTGTACAATAAATAAAAAAAAAGAAGATATATATAATGCAGATGGTGTAGTAACAAAATCTAAGCAACTACCCGCAGAAATGCTAACATTTATTGTTTGGCTTACCGCCATAAATGGCCTCAGCGGTACTGGGTTAACATGTACATAGATGTAGCATATTAGAGAGATTTTTTTTTATTTTATTTATTTATTAATTGTTTATGATATTTACAAATAAAAATAAAACAATTATAAGAAAAACATTATATATATCTACAGTGACATATTTTTTGAGATTACTGATAGTGGTTTATTATATAGTGTTTCAATAGTTTTTTAAATGTAGTTATTGACTGTGATTCTTTAATGTCTTTGGGGAGTTTATTATATATGTATTTGTATCAGTTATCTAGTAACCATAACACAAGTTATAGCTAGCTTAATTTGGGTCTAGATGGTGCTGTGTGAATTGTCCTGAGATTATACCTATATATATAAAAAAAGGTATATTGTGTACATATTTAATTAAAGTAATTTTATTTATTAATAATAATTGTAAATAGTTTTTATTTGTTATAAATATTAATGAATGTATGGCTATATTTAAGATGCGCGCACAGCTTCGTATGCGCGCTGCCTATACAATATATTTATGTACGTATACAGCCATATTACGGCGGGGTCACCAGTTATGGGCTAGATCTGGATTATATTTATATATATTTAAATAAAATAACAAAGCATTTTTATGAGACAAGACAGTTGACATATTGTTGACTATACAATATATTTATGTACGTATACAGCCATAAATGCATGTTATGACTTGCTATATATGTAAAGAAGTTTTTTACAGCCTTACTAATATTATAAATGTAAAAGTAACTCTGTCTTTCACGCCAAAACTACTAAACCGATTTAAATGAAATTTGGTACACAGATAGTCTAGATCCTGAGAAAGAACTACTTTTTATTGCAAATGAGATTTTTTTTGTGAATGATAGTAGAATGGTTCACCCGCCTGCGCTAACGGTTTACACTGGCGGGGCACCGAGTTTTTTTTTATAAATGATAATGTAATGGTGCACCCGCCTGCGCTAACGGTTTACACTGGCGGGGCACCAGTGGAGGATGATAAGATGAGCATGAGGTCAGGTCAGTTAGCCCATCGTGACAAATTCACCAGGAATTTATCACGATGGTTTCCAGGGGGAACCACGTGGAGGTCAACCTGACATGGTACATTGCTAGTAATGGGTTCAGTAGTCCACATTACTAACAATCCCCTTCCCCCCCGGGGCACCGAGTTGTAAGGGAGATAAAAGTTTATATAGAAGCATTGTCATTTCTAAAGCTAGGAGCTTGAAACTTTTTTCTTTGCCTTTTTTGGGTTAGATTATTGTAGATTAGTGTATATGGGTTAGTGTGTAAAATGTGGAGGAAGTCGCGGGCTTAACTAGTATGAAACAAGCCAGTATTACTAAGGCACGTCAAGAACTGCGTTCCCCACATCGACAGTTGATAATGCCTCTGCCTACCACATGTAGAATAATAGTCGTAGCGGTTAAATATAATTAAAGATAACTTACGAACAACAAATGGTTTGATTTCCTTTTTCAGTATCTCTGGTGTTACATACAAAATCGTTGACCACTGGGCCGGATTTTCAGTTAATAACTCTAATTGTTGAGACATTATACAAGTAAAATAATGTGATTAATTAAATTTTACGCAAACAAAATAATAAATAAACAAGTTTTGAAAAATTTTATTTTCTTTCATTTGACATTGATAGTTATTTTTTGGTTCTGCTTATTTCTGACCGAGAAAAGGAATTATGCCCATACAGCCAAAGCAACAGTTTCTTTTTTATTATAGCTTCGCACAAAGATAAAATAAGAAAGAAGTAGATGATGACAAAGTTATAATTACATTGCTATTAGTGATAGTTTAAGTATTGTAGTACTTGCATTTTTTTTTTATCTGTCCGTGATATTTTTACTTTAGCGAGACAAAAAGAAAAAACACCGTATTTGTAAATTAGGCATAATATAATTACATAAATTTTCCTTTTTATCTCCCTGGAATAAACCGAAACCTCTGTACACAATTATTTGATAATGTAATACTCCTCTCAAATGATAGTACATCCAAAGTCGTAAAATTTATTATTAAAAAAAATCATAAATTAAATGGCTGTCGCTTGATTGTTTGCCAATTAGCGTCTTTTTCGTTAGTTTAGTTAGTTTCTCTGTTTGACTGTTAAAATCGTGTGATTTATTTATCTGAATAATTAGTAGTGTAATTTTTCATCACGGAACCGAAAGTATACATAATGGCTGCAGTCCAAGGTGCCCCGGGCAATAAGCAATGGCCGAGACCGGGCGTACAACATCAAAATAGTCAAAATAATGCTAGTCTGACTCTGAATAGATCAATAAATTTATATCCACTAACGAACTATACATTTGGTACAAAAGAACCGCTATTTGAGAAAGACGCATCAGTGCCGGCTAGGTTTCAGCGTATGAGGGAAGAATTCTCAAAAATTGGAATGAGAAGGTAAGAATAGGTTATGTTTTTTGCTACTTTGGCTTGTGTGATATTTTCTGAGCATTATTTTCTAAATAAGCTGATTGCTGTAACACCGTCTGCATATTGAGTCACAGTCAATACATATAGAAATAATTTTTATTCACATAAACTCAATACAAACACTTGAATAGTCATATTTTTTTATTCTACCACTCATTCGCATATAAATAAGTATTTTCAGTTTATAAATATAGATTTAAGGTATTTTTTTTTATAAAACCTAAAGGCTATAATTCGGTGCTTTACATTGTAACACTGCAACCTGCATAGATCTATTGTGCTCGCCCTTTTTCAAAGCTCGCTACCTAGACCTCAGAATAGAGTGTATACTTTCCAATGGAGATATTTCGAAAAAAGTTGTTATTACAATTTTTATGAAATAGAAATAGAAATAATCTCTATTCAAATAAACTTAATGTAAGCACTTTTGAATAGACAAGTTTTTTTATTCTACCGCTCATTCGGAATGCAGATTCATCACAAGAAGAATGAGCAAGAAACTAGTGTGTTGATCTTTTACATAAATAATAATTACACAATAACAAGTAAGAGGCAAGCTGCCGCTGGATGTAAAGGGAGGGGACGCTCTAAGAAAAGATGTATGGATTGTGTGAAAGATGATATGAATAAAAGAAGAGTATGTTCAGATATGACAACCAATAGAGAGTAGTGGAAAAGAATGACATACTGCGCTGACCACAAATAATGGGATAAAGGCAAGGCAATGATGAGCCAAGCTATAATCAACATATAAACCGCTACACACTCATTCTTAGTAATTTGAGTATAGTTTTTTTTTAATCCTAGAGAATAAATTAATAGGTGTAAGTGTCAAATTTTCAAATAATGTTACAACATATAGTGGGGTAGTGGTGTACCTGTGATACCGATTTCTTCAATCGGAAACATTTATTTTAACATATTTATTTTAAATTTTTAAATGATGGTCCAACAACATAATTAAAATCTACAAACATTTACTAGTGTTTCCATTACTGTCTTCATATTATATAGCATAAAAATGCATTTTTGTTTTTTCTGTACAAATAGTAATTTTTACAGTATTAAGATCAACATTTTTTTTCTTTCAAACAGCTAAATATTTTAAATAGGTGTTTGTTTTATAATATATGACACTATAAAAGGGTCATTTGTTTTATAAAATAGATATTTTATCTTTATTTTAGTGAAAAGTAAAAAAATCTATTTTGATACAACAACTATATATTTATTAATACCCATACTTTGGTGACCTCTGTGGTCTAGAACACAGCTGTATGTCTGATGGTCGCAGGTTCGTTTTATCACACGGCACAAACATTTTATATTCATGATTATGATTGTTTGTATCGGTCTGGGTGTTTTCTATGTATAATATGTATGTATTTACGAAAAAAAGATCTATGTACTTGTATCAGTTATCTAGTATCCGTAACACAAGCTTTAGCTAGCTTAACTTGGGACTAGATGGCGCTGTGTGAATTGTCTTGAGATAATTATTATTATTATACTTTAATAATTTTGTGTTAATGCATGTTAAATAAACACCCACACATTATTTCTGAATAACCTATAAACATGGGTAATTAAAATTAATTTCCGATACTGTCACAACCCTATTAAAAAAAATCAAAAACCTGGCAACATCAGAAACTTCAAATTTGTCTCTGGGATTAAAAAGCAGACTATTAATACATCAGAGACAAAATTTTAAATACACAGTCAACTCGTAAGATTAAACCAGTCGTAGTGATTAGAGCTGACCAGTCCCTACAAGCAGCACTCGTTCACCTGACTGACCATGCATCTGTTCAGGTCAGTGGAAGGTGTACTCCTGGTCCACGAGCATGGTCTACCACATGTGCTGCTGTTGCAACTTGGGACTGCTTTCTTCAAGCTGCCTGGTGGAGAACTGAATCCTGGAGAGGTGAAATTGATTGCTTTTATTATTGTTTTTTCATTTGACATTTATAGTTTCTTTTTTTTTTTGTTCTCTATATTTCGGAATGATTCAAAGAACTGTGCCCATACAGCCATGTCAGTTGAAAAATTTTTTTTTATTATTATGGCTTGGCACAAAGTAATAGTTACAAATACACCTACCCAGGTCTGGATGTTTTCTATGTATAATTTTTTTTTTATGGATGATAATAGAATGGTGCACCCGCCTACGCTAACGGATTACGCTGGCGGGGCACTAGTGGAGGATGATAAAATGAGCATGAGGTCAGGTCAGTTAGCACATCGTGACAAATTGACCAGGAATTTATCACGATGGTTTCCAAGGGGAACCGCGTGGAGGTCGACCTGACAAGGTACATTGCCAGCAATGCGGTTATCAAACCACAGAATAGAATAGAATAGAAAATGTATGTGTTTGTATCAGTTGTCTAGTACTCATAACACAAGCTTTAGTTAGCTTAACTTGGGTCTTGATGGCATTGTGTGAATTGTACTGAGATTATAAAAAAAAATAGTGCCTGTGGATGACAAAACTATGGGTTCTATGTGGATGGTGTGTGCTTTCCATTGGTCGCGGCTAACATTTAGTAATGTTACAAAAAATGTTACGAGATGAGTCGTAACTTTCACAGGCGAGTTAGAGGATGATCTCGAGAGTGAAGATGGCTAGCTTTGATCTCTAATTCATTTATAAATCCAAAATAAATTTTGGTATAGTATTGTGGAATTTGATGCCCATTCCCATAAAAAACCTATTTTATGTTTATTATTTATGTTTTCAGGATGAAATAGAGGGGTTGAAGAGGTTATTAACAGAGACACTCGGCAGACAGGACGGGGTGAAACAAGAGTGGCTGATTGAAGATACCATAGGTATGATCGAACTATATATGTACCAGGGATGTTGCGGATAGATTTTTTTTCTCATCCGCGAATTATCAGTGATATCAGAATTAGTGATAATAATCACAGCCGAGGACTTTAAAAAAAATACAATTTCTTATAAAATATTTATTAAATACTACACTATTGGCAGCTCCGCAATGGAGGCCAGTTCTTACACAATTACATTATATATACAATTCTATTGAAATGTAATTTTTAATTTAATTGGAAAGTGCTGCATCGTCAGCGAAACTGCACGTGGAAGAATTTTGTAGCTGACGGTGCAGTCTAGAGTCTAGATTACTGTAACGGTTATTACACACTATTGTATTAAGATGGCTACAAATTATATATATATGTTGTCCCGAACAGTGCGGTTTCAGAGGAGTTTTCTCCTGCGTACACTTAGATTATGGAATGAACTACCTGCCGAGACTACAGCATGGGGTTTTTCAAGAAGGGTATATTAAGGTTTCTTAAGGGTCGGCAACGCGCAAGTACCCCTGGTGTTTCAGGCGTTCATAGGCTACGGTAACCATTTACCATCAGATGGGCCGTATGCTTGATTGCCATCATCGTAGTATAAAAAAAAAATATAGTTCTGTATACACGGATATAACACTCGGATGGGGATTCTTGGCGTTCACAACTGCAGATGCGGATGCTGTTTAGATTTTATTCACAAAAAATATATATAAGTGCAGAAATAAAGCAACAAGAATGGTTTTTCATATTTTTATATGATACGATACGTAATGTTTAATTTATGGTGAACAAATCATTTGTACACAACAAACGCGTCGAAACTTGTCAATGGATGAAACTCCGCTCCTATTGGTCAATGAGTGCGGTGATCGCCAGCCCCATGGAATTTCTTGTAGCAACTTGTCCGTCATCAAATTCAGAAATCATATATCACTTATGAACGTCAAATTTTTTATATTATAATTTTTTCCCTACCTTATATAGATCTGTGTCGCAAAGTGGTCGCACTTGAAAGTATATATGCACTGATTGTAGTTGGACCATACTTTTAAAATCTCTAGTATTCTGACGACTTAGGCGTAATGCCGGTTGGTCAGGGAGAGAAACACCTCAATGCCTATAATATTCACAATTACCTATCTCTTACTTGTTTTTATAATAATATCAACACTTTCGCTCCAAAACTGCCGCTGCTTCCGTTCAATCATCCGTCATCCACTTGTCAATGTCACATAGATTACTTTGGCTCTGGCCTCTGACGTTCCGTTTCAGGTTACATGATTATTGACTTTACCATTTTTAATTAATGGTGCGTCACACGATAGTTAACAATACGATGTGACGCATTCATTGCCTCAACAACACGATTTATTTTATTTATAAGTATACCCTACATTAGACTTATTTTTTCGTTCAACGCTTTAGAATCGTATAGCGTGTTATCTTTAGGAGGGCAATGGTGTCTGAGATACAGGCTAGACCTAGTTTAGACACTACTGCACTGGACTTGATATTAAATAGTTTTAAAAACTATTATATATATATGGATTAATATAGATATTGTTGGAAAGAAGATTAAGAGTGGAGGGGAGACCTATAAAAGTTTAGACACTACTTTGCTGTTACGTTACTCTGACTTGATATCTAAATAGTTTTAAAAAATTATTTCTATTATATATATATGGATTAATATAGATATATAATGTATTGCCTTAGTTAAGAGTTTAATTTACTTAGGTAGCCTAATTATTTCTTTTTAAAAAAATCACTTCTGGTCTTATTTTATATAACCTTAATTAAGTCCCTTTTTTTTTTTTTTTGCACAATAAAGTTATTATTATTAAAGATCTGACAAGAAAGTCAATTTAATTACTTTTTTTTTAAAAAGCCAGTTTAATTACAATATATATTTATAGAGGTGTCTATGTCTAACATTAAATGGAAATCCCGTGCATGAACAACATTCTAAGGAAGGTGTTACATATGAATGTGGATGGTTATAAAAAGAGATGGATGGTGTGAAAGATGATATGGTAAGAAAGGAAGTAAATAACGAGATGACTGCGAATAGGGAACTGTTGTCTAGTACCTATAACACAAGCTTTAGCTAGCTTAACTTGGGTCTAGATGGCGCTGTGTGAATTGTTCTGAGATTATTATTATTATTATCAGTTATCTAGTACCTATAACACAAGCTTTAGCTAGCTTAACTTGGGTCTAGATGGCCCTGTGTGAATTGTTCTGAGATTATTATTATTATTATCAGTTATCTAGTACCTATAACACAAGCTTTAGCTAGCTTAACTTAGGTCTAGATGGCGCTGTGTGAATTGTTCTGAGATTATTATTATTATCAGTTATCTAGTACCCATAACACAAGCTTTAGCTAGCTTAACTTGGGTCTAGATGGCGCTGTGTGAATTGTTCTGAGATTATTATTATTATTATCAGTTATCTAGTACCTATAACACAAGCTTTAGCTAGCTTAACTTGGGACTAGATGGCGCTGTGTGACTTGTTCTGAGATTATTATTATTATTATCAGTTATCTAGTACCTATAACACAAGCTTTAGCTAGCTGAACTTGGGTCTAGATGGCGCTGTGTGAATTGTTCTGAGATTATCATTATTATATTGTTTCAACAAATTAACCATAATGTTACAGGCAACTGGTGGCGCCCTAACTTCGAGCCCCCGCAGTATCCCTACATCCCCCCGCACATCACAAAACCGAAAGAGCACAAGAGACTATTTCTAGTGCAACTACAAGATAGAGCTCTATTCGCAGTGCCGAAGAACTACAAATTGGTTGCAGCACCTCTGTTCGAGTTATACGATAACGCTCAAGGATATGGACCCATCATCTCGTCGCTGTCTCAGAGCTTGTGTCGATTCAATTTTGTATACATGTGAGGTTGTCTGTGAGAAATCACCTCCTAAATAGGAACAGTCCGATACTGCTTGCTAAAATAAATGCGGAAGTAACTTTGTCTGTCGTGATGTCACGCCAAAATTAATGAACCGATTTTAATGGAATTTGGTATACAGATAGTCTAGGTCCTGGAAAGGATATGGGCTACTTTTTAAAGAGCTGCTTCGTCCACGTGTATATTAGTGACTTTGTCAAGTAAAGAAAATATTTAATTATCTAACCTAAAAAGGATAATCAAAAAGTTCTAAAAAGACGAATATCCATACAAACTTTCATCCCCATATCCCAAAAATGTGATCTTAAGGGTGTGACATAAAAATTATCCCCTTAAAACCATTTTTTTTTTTAATTTTCAATGTCATATTTATTTACCATCATCATTACATAGTATAAAATAAAATCGCTGTCGCTGTCTGTCCCTATGTATGCTTAAATCTTTAAAACTACGCAAGCGGTTTGGTTTGTTTAATAGATAGAGTGATTCTAGAGGAAGGTTTATATATATATAATACATGTAGACCCGGTAGCTAGTATTTAATAAATAGACCTAAAAAAAAATTTAAGTTTCAAAAATGACAGTATTTTCATACAACTTTTCATCTAGCATTAAAAAGTAGTCTATATCTTTCTCAGTGTCTAGACTATATATGTATTAAATTCCATTAAAATCGTTTCAGTAGTTGTGGCGTGAAAGCAAGACAGACGAACAGACAGTTTTCACATTTATAATGTTTGTAATGATTAGAACAGCAGAGAAGCTGACTCCAGACAGCATGGGGTTGTTCAAGAAGGGTATATTAAGGTTTCTTAAGGGTCGGTAACGCGTGACACCCCTGCTGTTTCAGACGTCCATAGGCCACGGTAACCGTTTACCATCAGATGGGCCGTATGTCTGATTACCATTATAATTGTATAAATAAATATATATACATGAACAGAATTACTGTCATCACGTTATCATGTGTTAGTATCGAGGTCTGACAATTTTTTTATATCCTCAAGTGAAAAGTGACTCTATTCCGAAATAATTTATACCGCAAAACAGAATTGGGTCAGTCAGCTGGTCTATTCATAATAATGAAGGAATTAATCAAAAACTCTGCCCCTCATACAGAAAATGTAGTTATTTACCATACTAAATACATAAAAAAAACGGACAGTAAGTGGTAACCGTCGCATACATGAACAGCACTACTGACATCACGTTATCACGTGACACCCGTGATACCACTCACGCGTTGTCACTCCAGAGTACTAACATGTCACGCCTCTTATCCTGTAACTTCACTTCCTAATCTGCACTACAACCGAAACAGCTTACAAAAGCTGCTTGGCTAAAATAGGTGAGACTGAAGTACACATATAGACCAGTTTAAACAAATTGGTAAATATAAAATAACTTTGTTTTGAAGACTGTTCCTATATAACTGTGGCAAGTAACTCCTCACAGATCATAAATATGGACTATATTTTAGAATAAGTTGTATTGTATAATGTTTAGTTTAAGAAACACGTTTTAAAACCATACAACTGCCAGCGTTTTATTTTGTACCTCAAGAAAGAAGATTGTTTTTAGTATTTAAGTTAGGATAAGACTAGCTTTAATTCACGGCTGTACCTGAGTTAGGAGTACTTAGACGATGCCGCTTAGCTCGGTGATATTTTTTAATTGTTTTGTTAAACGATATTGGGAAGGTTTGTTAAAAAATAACTTGTAAGTTGATTTGTTTATATTAATAGCAAAACTAGAATTTAATTCATATATACAGTGGACCTCCGGTTATCCGACAAACGTTTGGCAGGGCTTTTGGTCTTAAGGGTGTGAAATAAAAATCACCCCCTTAAAACCATTTTTTTATTTATTTTCAATGTCATATTTATTTATCAACATCATTACATAGTATAAAACAAAGTCGCTGTCGCTGTCTATCCCTATGTATGCTTAAATCTTTAAAACTACGCGACGAATTTTGAAGCGGTTTTGTTTAATAGATAGAGTGATTCTAGAGGAAGGTTTATATATATAATACATGTAGACCCGGCCGAAGCCGCGGCGGGTAGCTGGTATTTAATAGAGCCCTAAAAAAAATTTGTCGGATTATAGAGTGCTACCTAAGAGTCGCCTTTTTTTTTAAAAAAGAGTATCTTGTAATCCGACAAATTACAGATCCAGTGATAAGATTCTATATTATATATGTATGTATGAATATGCACTCTGAAGTATATTGTAAATATATAAGAGCTGGCAGCTACCTCGGACAAAGAATTAGTCTAGCTATTCAAAGAGGGAACGCTGCCAGTATCTTCGGAACTTTGCCTAAAGGGACTCCTTTTAATAATATATTTCATTTTATTATATTATATTTTTTAAGCTTCTTAATTTTAGGTTCTTTATTGTAAACAAAATATTCAATCTAAATATATAATAAAATATATAGTAATAATAGTCAATTATATGAATATAAATAAAATAAATTAGAAATTGTTCAAAATCTAAATATATATAACTCAAAGGTGACTGACTAACATAGTGATCTATCAACGCACAGCCCAAACCACTGGATGGATCGGGCTGAAATTTGGCATGCAGGTAGATGTTATGACGTAGGCATCCGCTAAGAAAGGATTTTGATTATTTCTACCCCCAAGGGGATAAAATAGGGGATGTAAGTTTATATGAAATTTTGTCAATTTTAAACCGATCAGGCTGAGACTTTACATGCATAAAGCTACTATGACGTAGGCATCCCCTAAGAAAGGATTTTGATAAATTCCACCCCTAAGGGGATAAATTAACGCGAGCAAAGCCGCGGGCAAAAGCTAGTAATAAATAAGATGCCATGTCAGATTATAAGGGGGCCGGATTACCGGGTCCACTGTATATACAAAATAGATCGGGTTAAAAGTCAAGTCGGGATTCTAGCGGTTTAGAACACCGATTTACTTCCGATGGTCGCGGGTTCAATTCCTCGCACGGTCCAAACATTTGTATTTATTTATTTATTAGCATACAAAATAGATTGCAATCAATATAATAGTCTTTGGAATAGATTTCCTGTAGCCCTGCGCAAAGCACAGAGTAAGTCTGTTTTCAAACGGAAAATGTTTGATTATCTCTAGAATGAACAAAACGGTTTTTAATTATTTATTTATTTATAAAATTACATGCTCTCAGTGAGTATTACAGTACAATACCAATGCACTCACCAAGGTATAAAACGTATGCAATACATACATTAATAATAATAATAGTGATAACAATAAGGACATAAAAAAAATAAAATAAAAACAGCAACTATCAAATTACAATAATATCAATAATCTAGAAATATACTAATACTGAGACTCCACAAAATTTGTTACCGCTCTGTGAAACTCTGTAGCAGTACAATTAAATATGTCAAGTAGAAAAAAAATATATAACTCATTAAGCAGACATATCACTTGTTCAAATATGAAGAAGTTTAAAAGTAGACTAGGCTGTACGGTCTAAGGATCTTTGCCTGTTCCATCACTGAAAAGGAGATGGACGAATATGGAAAAAAAAAATCTATTGTTGTCATAATATATATGTAAAATTCTCTTTTATTTAATTTTATTGGTGTATATATATATTATTATGTATTATATCAGGTATATGTTTATATTTATATATGTATATTTGTAAGTATTTGTAAAGAAACCTATTTATCTATGTTAGGTAAAATTATAGGTTAGTCCTTTCCCACCACTGCCTATCAACCGCTTTCTGTTCTTACCTAATGGTTAGCTGATAGAGAATGCCATATGGCATTAAGCTCGCCAAATTGTACAATTTTATAAGTGCAATAAAGAATAAATAAATTAATAATATAATTAACAGCGTGTAGTTAGGTACAAAACTGGATTGTAATACAACACTATGTATGATTAAAAGCTAAATTATATAGACGCATTCAATATACGCTAGATAGCTAGATAAGGTTAGTGGATGTGTGGTGTGACAAGAATGAATACATTAGAGGAAGTATGAAAGTGGCGCCGGTGTCGGAGAGGTTGAAGAGTAATCGTCTATCGTGGTATGGACATGTAATGCGTAGGAATGAGGATAATATTTTAAGGAAGGTGTTACATATGAATGTGGATGGTTATAAGGGCAGAGGAAGGCCGAGAAAGAGATGGATGGACTGTGTGAAAGATGATATGGTAAAAAAGGAAGTAAATAACGAGATGACTGCGAACAGGAATGAATGGAAGCGAAAAACATTACGACGACCACAAATAAATGGGATAAGAAAGAAGCAGATGATGATATTTATGAATACAATCGTCTGTACTTATATACTACATGTGTGGAAAAGAGAAGGAAGCATTATGTCGTCTCTGTCATACACTGCTGGCGTCATTCCACAACGTAATGTACATAGAATATACCCGGTAAAACGAGTAACGATACCCGAGATGACTGCGAACAGGGATTCAGTGGAAGAGAAAAACATTACGCCGACCACTAATAAATGATGATATATTTATGAATACAATCGTCTGTACTTATATACTACATGTGTGGAAAAGAGAAGGAAGCATTATGTCGTCTCTGTCATACACTGCTGGCGTCATTCGGCCATTAAGCTGTTACCGCAACGTAATGTGCATAGAAAATACCCAGTAAAACTAGTAACGGTACCCGAGATGACTGCGAACAGGGATCAATGGAAGAGAAAAACATTACGCCGACCACAAATAAATGGGATAAGGCAGAAAGAGATGATGATGAACCAGATAAGGATATATAATGAAAAGTAAATTAAACAGAGTAGACTGTATTCACGAGTATGGTTGTATTGGTCTTTGGAAGTATTGGGTACAATTATGTGTGAATAAAAAAATGTATTTAAGTATTTTTATCAGCTGTTTAGTATCCGTAACACAAGCTGTGCGTACCTTGGAACTAGATGTCGTTTTGTTGATTGTCCTAAGATATTATTAAACTCAAATGTTTTGTACCGTACGGGATATCGAACCCACGACCATCGCAAGTAAGGCGGTGTGCTAAACCCATTAAAACAAATAAATATTAAAATGTGTTTATTCGTACGATAAACTACGATAGCAGTTTACCATCAGATTGGCCGTATGCTTGTTTGCCACCATCATAGTATAAAAAATCATGAAATTTACTGTGATCGAAGTGAAATATGAAATTATTCTGTGATATTATAGTCTAGTTATTATTAAGTAGTAATTTCTATACTCGATACTCTTCAGTTTGGCAAAACTGCAGACTTTTACATTTGGTTGTGCCTAACATAAGCCTAGCCTATGTTTGTCATATGTTCATTGCCTTACAAAATAGTAAAGTACATTTTCTTGCGGCTATTAAAGTGGATTCGATTTTCCGAATCGTAAATATATGGAAATTAATTGTTATTAATATATAAGAACACAAATTCAGTCTGTTTGTGCCTAAATTTAATACTAGCTGTCCCGGCAAACGTTACTTTCCCATATAAATTATTAACGCTATAAAGAAAATAGGGGTTGGTGATAGAAGAGTGAAAATTTAGGGTCTTTTTTTTTTAGTGACCCACACTTAACACTTAAGGATTTAAATATTATAGCGGCATATCCGAATTTAGTAGATGACTGCACATCTTTCATTATTGCATCTTTGACAACTTATGTCTATATGTATTGACTGTTATGTGCCAGAATAAAAAAAAAAATACTAATAAATAAAGAAATAAAAAACACTTGAACTTGACGTCAAGTAAATTATTGCTGTTAACTTCATTTGAAAATGTTACAATCATTAACAGCAACAAAATGTATATTGTAAAAGGGTTTTTTTAGGCATGATAATGTAATGGTGCACCCGCCTGCGCTAACGGTTTACGCTGGCGGGGCACCAGTGAAGGATGATAAGATGAGCATGAGGTCAGGTCAGTTAGCACAAATGACTGACAAATTCACCAGGAATTTATCACAATGGTTACCTGGGGGGAACCGCGTGGAGGTCAAGATATAGTACATTTCTAGCAATCATGTGGACTATTACTAACAATCCCCTTTCTTCCCCCCCTCCCCTAATTTAATAATAATAATAATAATAAAACTTTATTGTGTACACATAAAATAATAAGAAAATACAGTAAATAGTAAAATAATTACAAAAGGCGGTCTTATCGCTAAATGCAATCTCTTACTGACAACCTAGAAGAGAGGACTTATGTACATAGAATAGGGTAGGTGGCACACATAAGACACTATTTATTATACTACTAGATATACATACTTACATTAGGGATAAATATATAAACCGACATATATACTACATATTGGAAGAAATGAGAAAAAAAATAAAATAAAAAAATGTACTATGAAGAGAGATAATGAGATCTTAGTCTATTTTTAAATGATGCATGTGTTTGAGCTGATCGAATGGAGAGTGGTAGAGAGTTCCAGGTGAATGGCTTGGACAGTGAAGGAGTTGGAATAATATGTGGAGGAGTGAGCAGGGATCGTCAAACATAGGCTTCTGGTACTACGCAAAGCAGAACCGGGGGATTTAATATGAAATTATTGTAAAAGTCTTGGCCGAGGGGGGGCCATCATTCTAGGGGGCTGCATTATTTAGTTTTTGCAGCGCCTCATAAGAAATGATGATCCGGGGCTGCCTAAAATGTGTGAAGTTATAAAGTTAAATTGGGCATGTAGGAAACCGTTGCTAAAAACTTACTAAAAAAATAGTAAAATCAGTTTGTAATAAGTACTCACAACTTGTCTTTTATTTTATCTCCGTATATCATGAATAACATTAGGGATCAACTCCTACACCCCCAATCCCCCGTCCAATTCAAACGGTGATCGAAATTACGACGGCCTGAGCCGAGGTTCGAACCCCTTTTTTTTTTTTTTTTACTTGGAGAAAATCCCTCATGGAGACCCGCCGGCCCCGGGGGAAGCCCGCGGGTACTGTGAGACTCCTACTCACTAAAAACTCCAAGATGTCCCTCACCCAACGCCATATGCCGGAGCCGCGGGATCGATAACATTCAACCGCGACTCCGACGGCGGTGGCCCACTCTACAGCGGGCCCCATCTCTGCGGGTTCCCTGTGGAACCCACCACTTCCCCCGTCTTCCCTGGGGAAGGAGCGCGGGGACATGCGCGCGACTTCTTCGGGCCTAGTGTGGAGGGGTGGGACCGCCCCCGCGGTCGTCACCCCGGCCCGAGGTTCGAACCCCTAGCGGTGCCCTCAGACTGGCGTAGTATCTGTCAGGCAAGAGTTGTCCTTCAGCCGCTCCAGAAGTCCTTTGGTTTGGAGTGCCATCTGCGCTCGCCCCCTATCGTGAGGTGAAGCTATAAAGACCAGCCGCGGCCAACAGCATTAGAGTAATCCGATAAAAGACTTGGGTGGAAATACCTATATATTTTCTACGAGTAAAGTCATATGATTGAATTATAGTTTATATCCATAAAAAGGTATGTAAGCGCAATAGTGATAAACAATATTCGAAATGAAATTCACAATACTTGTACTGTTTTTAATAAAATACATTTATTGCAAACTATGGCCGAAAGGAGTTGTTCATTATACCATAAACAAGAAAGATTACGGTACTTATTTTTTTTTTTATCTTACCTTTGCAGTCGCTCTGGATTAGGGGCTGTTCAAGTATTACGTAAGCACTATGGTGGAGGGTCAGACATTTGCTTATTTTGGATGACATGGGGGTCAGAGGAGGGGGCAAATGATGATTACGTCATCGGTGTAGTTATTTACTTTTTTACATGAATGGCAACCCTCATAATCTTTGCTAAAAAAACAATATATTAATTGAAAAATGTTTACGTTAGCATGGGGGGAGGGGGTAAGGATAGCTTACTTTTGCTGACAAAGGGGATGGGGGTAAATAATTGTAATAAATGTGTTTATGTAACTTGAACGACCCCTAATTACTGATGATTTTTTTTAGTATGGTGCACCCGCCTGCGCTAGCGGTTTACGCTGGCGGGGCACCAGTGGAGGATGATAAGATGAGCATGAGGTCAGGTCAGTTAGCACATCGTATTATAAACGCGAATTTGTCAGTATGGATGGATGGATGTTTGTTACTCTTTCACACAAAAGCTACTGAACGGATTTTGTGGAAACTTTACAATAATATAGCTTATACATCAGGATAAAATATAGCCTATAAATAAAAAAGATATGTGAATTGGATTAAATATAATAGTAAATGTCAAGTATGTCCGTCTGTCCCGGATAATCTCTGAAACGGCTAGACCGATTTTGACGGGACTTCGAAGGTAGCTGATGTAATAAGGAATAACTTAGGTTACTTTTATTTTAGAATAATAAAATTAAATTCCACACGGACGAAGTCGCGAGTACGATAGTAGATAAATATAAACAAACATTTATATACATTATCTAAATATATATAACTCAAAGGTGACTGACATAGTTATCTATCAACGCACAGTTCAAAGCACTTGACGGATCGGGCTGAAATTTGGCATGCAAGTAGATGTTATGACGTAGGCATCCGCTAAGAAAGGATTTTGATTAATTCTACCCCCAAGGGGATGAAAGTTTGTATGAAACTTTGTCAATTTTAAACCGATCGGGCTGAGATTTTGCTTGCATAAAGCTACTATGACGTAGGTATCCCCATAGAAGGGATTTTGATAAATTCCACCCCTAAGGGGATAAATTAACGCGAGCAAAAGCTAGTTAATATATAAACACAATGAACCTAAATCTAAAAATCTTAATATTACAGATATACACTCACAAGATGTTATAATGTCAACCTTCAGTCAACTTCAGAATGAAGTTTGCGTGAAGTTTTTTAATAATAACCTAAATAGCTCTACTACCGAAATAGATAAAATATTGTACATAAGTAATCCTTACAAGAGTAAACACTGTCCTCCACGACATTACGATTACACGAAGAGTGTCGTGGTATGTATGGCTATCTTAAAAAGATCTAGCACATATAATTACATAGTATAAAACAAGATCGCTGTCGCTGTCTGTCCGTCCCTATGTAGGTATGCTTAAATCATTAAAACTACGCAACGGATTTTGAAGCGGTTTTTAGTGATTCAAGAGGAAGGTTTAAAAAAAGTAATTCAATTGAGTTCCTTGCCAGTTGGATGTATATACCGCACTGGATGGTAGGGAAAAAATTAAAATTAGAATGTGAAAATTTGACGTTCATAAGCGGCTAAAATGTCCTATATGAATAAATGATTTTTTAATTTGAATAATATCTATCTTTGGGGGAAAGGGGATTGTTACCAGTACCGGATTTATATGTTTTACTAGAAATAACCGTTTTTTACTACATGCATATGAATATAAATACGGTACATACACCAAAATATCATTTTTTAATGTGTTTGTCTGAAAGGGCTATACCTATTTTGATGGGACTTTTATTGGCAGGTAGTCTTTTATTTTACAAAAAAATATATTTTTTTTCTTTACTTTTTTTTATAGTCGCGGGAACAGGCCGCGACTATATAAAAAAGTATTTTTTTAAAATAAAAGTAGCCTAAGTTACTCCTTATTACATCAGCTACCTGCCAATAAAAGTCCCGTCAGAATCTGTTTAGCTCTTTCAGACAGACAAGCAGACAAAAATTGAAAATAAAATTTTGGTGTATGTACCGTATTTATATTCATATGCATGTAGTAAAAAACGGTTATTTCAATATTACAAAAAGACACTTCTATTTTATTTATATGTATAGATAATGGAATGGCATCTCTACGCTAACGGTATACCCTGGCGGGGCACCAGTGGAGGCTGATAAGATGAGCATGAGGTCAAGTCAGTTAGCACATCGTGACATATTCATTAGGAAATTTGTCACGACGGTTTCCAGATCCCTCCGATTGATCCCCAGTCCAATTCAAACAGGGCTTGATATTACGACGGCCTGCATCGAGGAACCCCTAGCGGTGCCCTCAGACTAAAATTGTACCCGTCAGTCAGGAGTTGTCCTTGAACCACTTCATAAGTCCTCGGTGACGACCTCGGTGGTCTAGCGGTCTAGCACACCGCTTTACGTCCGATGGTCGCGGGTTCGATTCCTCGCACGGCACAAACATTTGTATTCATGAGTGTGATTGTTTGTATCGGTCTGGGTGTTTTCTATGTATAATATGTATGCATTTACGAAAAAAAATATCTATGTATTTGTATCAGTTATCTAGTACCCATAACACAAGCTTTAGCTAGCTTAACTTGTGTCTAGATGGCGCTGTGTGGATTGTCCTGAGATAACTTCCTTTGGTTTGGATTGCCATCTGCACTCGCCCCATATCGTCCGGTGAAGCTGTAAAGGCCAGCTGCGGCCAACAGCATTAGAGTAGTCCGAAAAAAAGAAGGTTTACCAGACATAGTGTCAACTGAGACATGTTTTCATAACGACTTGTCATTGCAGGATATGCCTATTGGCTACAAATGTATTGATCAGAAGGAAATTGCTAAAGTTGTTGTGGACATGCTCAGAGCAAGCATCGATCCCAATGGTAAGGTACAATTTAATCTTTATAATTTAAGAGCTGTGCTCTTGTCGGTGGAGCTACCGCCACCTTCCACGATCTTCTATCAGTCCTTTTAGCTGTTGATACGACACGACTCCAACTTGTTCTTTAACCTGCTTGATATAGCTGTGTCTCGGTTTTCCCCTTCCTCTCTTTCCATCTATTTTTCCTTCTATAATGTTGTTAATTAGTTCGTCGTGTCGTATCAAGTGCCCCAACATTTTCCCCGCCTATTCTCAATAATATCTATGATCTGTCTCTTTTCTTTAATCCTCTCAAGCACTTCTTCATTCCTTATTTTATCTTCTTACATAGTATAAAAGAAAGTCGCTGTCGCTGTCTGTCCCTATCTATGCTTAAATCTTTAAAACTATGGAACAGTTTTTGAAGCGGTTTTTGTAATAGGTAGACTGATTTAAGAGGAAGGTTTATATATATATAATACATGTACACCCGGGCGCGGTTGGGTAGCTAGTAATATTATAAATACGAAAGTTTGTAAGTATGGATGTTTGTTACTCTTTCACGCGAAAACTACTGAACGGATTTTGATGAAAGTTTTCAGTGATAGCTTACGCATCAGAAGTATACATAGGGTATAAATTTCTTGCAGATGGAACAACAGATACGGCTAGTCTTATATATAAAATTCTCGTGTCACAATGTTAGTTACCATACTTCTCCGAAACGCCTATACTGATTTTTAAGGAATTTTATATGCATATTCAGTGGGTCCGTGAATCGACTACTATCTATTTTTCATACCCCTAAGTGATAAGCTCCACTCTTCACATACATTTATTTCTTATTTTTTTAATTTATATTTTAACATCCATATCTACTTACAAACTTTCGTGTATATAATATAATTATTAAGATTAAATATCTTTGTTGCAGACTCGCCAATAAATAGTTACGATTTAATTAAGAAATTTAAAGAGAAGGTATTTTAATTATATTATATTGCTTTTGAAAGAAAGAAAGATTTTTCTTAATGACTTTTTACTTATTCAGAATATTTTATATTTTAAGTATTCAATGAAATATCATATAATCTTTAAGATTAAAATCAACATGCGAAATTTGTTTTTTTTTCATTTTTCTTAACTGCACTGGTTACCGAGTAAAGATGCTATATCTATATAACTCTATTCTCCCAAATTTGAATTTAAATGAATCTGTATTATTATCACGACCTCGGTGGTCTAGCGGTCTAGCACACCGCTTTACGACCGATGGTCGCGGGTTCGATTCCTTGCACGGCACAAACATTTGTATTCATGAGTATGATTGTTTGTGCCGGTCTGGGTGTTTTCTATGTATATTATGTATGTATTTATATACCACTTGTCTAGTACCTATAACAGAAGCTCTGCTTACCGTGGTACTAGATGGCGCTGTGTCAATTGTCCAGGGTTATTTATTTATTATTCCGAACTGACGGTAGATTTAACATATCATAAGAGTCTGTAAAAGACCTACATGAATAAAGATATTTTGAATTTTAATTTCATAATGATAGAAAACTTACTTGCATGTTAAATTATTTTTAATTTGACAATTAAATTGCATGCTAAACCCTCGGAAGATGTTAAAGAAGTTTAATAATGATTATTTCTATTTCTTCTCCATCTTCTAGAAGGAGGACCGCACTCTTCCTTCTCTACTCACCCCCACAGATCGTAACTACATAAATGCCCATTACCACTTCGAGTGTGGCGCCCTCTCTGAGAGACCAGCGTTGTCTCGACGTACTGGCCAGGATGACGCGGAGTTTTTAGAAATAACTGCAGCCAATGTCGATTACTATGAGAACAAGTTATGGCCGCTGGGTATAGTTATGTATGGACTCGAGGAGAAATATAGTAAGTTATCTTTGTATTTGCTAGGGTTCATATCAATACTGTAGAAAAGTATGAGATTTTAAAAAGATATTAAAAGAAGGTAGTTTGTGTTTAGTACTAATGAAGTACCCAATGTAAAGATTATTACAAATATTGTAAATAGCGCCATCTAGTAATTATAGACCGAACTAAGTTGTTTGTCAAAAGATAACCGTTACCCCCCGCTTCTCTCCTTACTACTCTGATTTCGGTCTATAAATACTCCGATCGATCCCCCGTCCAATTCAAACGGAGATCGAAATTACGACGGCCTGAGCCGAGGTTCGAACCCCTAGTGGTGCCCTCAGACTACAGTCGTATCCGTCAGGCGGGAGTTGGCCTTCAGCCGCTCCATAAGTCCTTCCGCGGGTTTGGAGTGCCATCTGCACTCGCCCTTTAACGTCCGGTGAAGCTGTAAAGACCAGCTGCGGCCTACAGCATTAGAGTGGTCCGAAAAAAAAATTGTATAATTCTCTTTCGTTGGGTGAGCCGCGGCATTCAGTCGACGAGTGCAGAGCGTGCCGGTTGTGTTTTGGATACTAAAGTGAATTGTATTAGAAATGAATTTATCCCGGTCTTAGTTGGGCCTGAGGGGAAGCTGCAAGTAGTGAAGGCGAGTGTTAATGCATTCTAAAAGGGCCTTGTAAAACTACACCCGTGTCAGAAGTCACGGGCGCTACTTGGGGTTTCCCTTGCGGTAGCTGGCTTCAAAGCCTAAGTCGTCATCATTATTAGTGCTTCTTATATATATATAGCTTACTTGTGGCGGCGTGGTGGGGGTTTTTTTTATGGATGATAATGGAATGGTGCACCCGCCTACGTTGCATATGCTAGTGGTCACTCTATACTCCCAAATTTGAATTTAAAAATGAATCTGTATTATTGTAAACATGTACATTTATTTAAAAAGAATACGAGCTGAGTTTCTTGTCAGTTCTTCTCATCTCGAAATCACTCCGAACTGACGGTAGATTTAACATGTAAGAGACTGTAATAGACCTACTTGAATAAAGATATCTCGAATTTGATTTGAGATTTTAATAATAATAATTAAAACTTTATTGACGGCCTCGGTGGTCTAGTGAGACGTAGCGGTGTATTAAATATACACCGCTTTACGTCCGATGGTCGCTAAGAGTCTGTAATAGACCTACATGAATAAAGATATCTCGAATTAGATTTAAGATTTTAATAATAATAATTAAAACTTTATTGACGGCCTCGGTGGTCTAGTGGTTTAATACACCGCTTTACGTCCGATGGTCGCGGGTTCGATTCCTCGCACGGTACAAACATTCGTATTCATGAGTATGATTGTTAGTATTAATCTGGGTGTTTTCTATGTATATTACGTTTGTATTTACAAAAAGTAAAGTATTTATGTCAGTTGTCTAGTACCGTAACACAAGCTCTGCGTAGCTTGGAACTAGATGGCGCTGTGTGAATTGTCCAAGTATATTATCATTAATATTATATTAAAAACTAGCTGTACTCGCGACTTCGTCCGCGTGGAAATAAACTTTATTTTTCTAAAATAAAAATAGCCTAATTTGCTCCTTGTTACACCAGCTACCTGCCAAAAAAAGTCCCTTCAAAATCGGTCCAGCGATTTCAGAGATTAGTCGGAACAAATAAACAGACAGACAGACAAACAAAAATTGTAAAAAATGTTATTTTTGTATATGTACCTACCGTATTTATATTCATATGCATGTAGTAAAAAAACAGTTATTTCAATATTACAAACAGACACTCCTTTTCTGACAAAGTCCGGCCCGAAGGACCAATGTCCAAGATATCTAATAGACAATTAATTTTTTTATTCTTCTACAGGAGAAGAACCACTGTTTGCATTCCTCAAGCACGCCATGGCATCCATTGAGCTATCGACCTGCGTGGTCTTCCAAGAGATCACCCCTGATGATGTACTGACTCCGAAGAACCTGCTTTGGTTCGGCAGTGAAGGAGAAGACATGCCGAACCTTGGGTTTATGAGTGGAAACCAGGTGAATGATATTTTACGTAGATTTTTTAATGGCAAAGACGCTTATGGTAACCTGATGATGGTAACCGTCGTATGTATACGTGAACAGCACTACGGACATCACGTTATCACGTGACGCCCGTGATACCACTCACGTGTTGTCATTCCAGAGTACTAACATGTCACGCCTCTTATCCTGTAATTTCACTTCCTAATCTGCACTACAACCGAAACAGCTTACAAAGCAAGCTGCTTGGCTGAAATAAGTGAGACTGAGGTACACACGCAGGCTTGTTTGTATACTCTATTACTATTAGGTATTAGACGGCTTTGGTCTAGCGGTTTAGCCCACCACCTTACCACCACCTACGATGCATACATTCATCTTCATGAGTACGATTGTTTGTAACGTTGTTGGAAGAGGATTGTCAGCAATGTGGATTCATGAACCCGTTACTATCAATGTACCATGTCAGGTTGACCTCCACGCGGTTCCCCCTGGAAACTATCGTGATAAATTCCTGGTGAATTTGTCACGATGGGCTAACTGGAAAATTAGCTTGCTGCCAATTACAAGTGCGTTGCTGGCCTTTTAAAAAGGAATAAGGACTAGTTTGCAGCCCATGAGCAACGCCAGGGGTACTGCAAGTGCGTTGTCGGCCTTTTAAAGCATCAACTTTTTTCTTAATAGTTTCAATATCGTATCGGTTCGGAAATACCATTGCTGGAAGGTGATTCCATGAGTGTTAATAATGAGAATAGTAGCATCATTGCTAGCAATGTACCATCAGGTGGACCTCCACGCTGTTCCCACTGGAAACCATCGTGAGAAGTGTCTGGAATATATCTCTCGATGTGCTAACTGACCTGACCTCATGCTCATCTTATCATCCTCCACTGGTGCCCCGCCAGCGTAAACCGCTAGCGCAGACACCATCCCATTCAAATTCAAATTAATTTTTTTTTAATTTGATGTGTCCATCCCATCCCGTTTTTTTATGGATGATACCATCCCATTATCATCCATAAAAAAAACGGTATAGATCTTGTTCTTATAAAATAAAAAAGTTGTTTCCTACTTAAGCTATAAGAAACAGTATTTTATTTACATTTCTCTTTCACTTTTTATACGACGTAGGTAATATGGTCTGATGGTAAGCAGTTACCATAGCCTATGAACGCCTGAAACACCAGGGTATCACGTGCGCGTTATCGACCCTTAAGAAACCTTAATATACCCTTCTTGGAAATCCAAGCCGTAGTCTCTCGAGAAAACCACGGCAGGTAGTTCATGTATATGTATCATAACAATGTAACATGTCAGGTTGAGCTCCATGCGGTTTCCCCTGGAAGCTATCCTGATGAAATTCCTGGTGAATTTGTTACGGTGTGCTAACTGACCTGACCACATCATCATCATCATTCATCCTCCACTGCTGCCCCGCCAGCGTTGTTAAAGAGGTCACAAATCTCGTATAAAAGAAATGTTTTTTAAACTGGTGACAATCAAGCATACGGCCTATCTGATAGTAAACGGACACACCAGGGGTGTCACGCGTTGCCGACCCTTAAAAAACCTTAATATACCCTTCTTGAAAAGTTGGCAGGCAGTTCATTCAGCAATGTAAGTGTACGCGGGTGGAAGCTCCTCTGAAACCGCACTGTCCGAGACCACTTAGGTTCCAGCGTGTAGGGATGAATTCCCTGTCGATGGCGAGCGGTGTGATGGTAAAAGGTAGCCGTGGGCATCATGTCATTATATGCAGTTTGCCGACAATTGTCAGAATATTTTTTTTAATTTCCAGACAATCAGATTGGAATCTATGTCCCAAGGCGCTCCTGGACACACAGCGCACGCACTGAACATGTTGACGCGTGTTCTGGGCGTCCCCATGATGTCCAACCGGTTCGACAGAGACAACTATGTGGTTATCAACTGGAAACGTGTCGAAAAAGGTATTATAATAATAATAATCCCAGGACAATTCGCACAGCGCCATCTAGACCCTTTTTTTTTTTTGACTTGGAGAAAATCCATCATGGAGACCCGCCGGCCCCGGGGAAGCCCGCGGGTACTGTGAGACTCCTACTCACTAAAAACTCCAAGATGTCCCTCACCCAACGCCTAAGCCGGAGTCGCGGGATCGATGACATTCTACCGCAACTCCGGCGGCGGTGGCCCACTCTAGCAGCGGGCCCCATCTCTGTGGGTTCCATAGCGGAACCCGCTACTTCCCCTCCTCTTCCCTGGGGAAGGCGCGCGGGGACATGCGCGCGACTTCTTCGGGCCTAGTGTGGTGGGGTGGGACCGCCCCCGCAGTCGTCACCCCGGCCCGGTAGCGATCGAGGAGCGGCTAGTTACCGCCCCTACCTCCCTGATCGCCAGGAGGGGGACTGGGCTCGTGGGCCGTCTCCATCCCCTCCTCCTGAACGCTCCTTCGGCCTGGGGCCTGAGTGGCTGGCCGTTTCCCCTTTTTGTTTTTGGGCGGGGTGCAAGATTTAGCACCCACCCAATGGTTCGCCGGGCGACCTAGCGCGGCGCAGATGACGCACCGCGGATCGGCTGTGCATGTTGCTGCACGAAGCGCCATCTAGACCCAAGTTAAGTTAGCTTAACCTTGTGTTATGGGTACTAGATAACTGATACCAATACATAGATATATATTTTTTTCGTAAATACCTACATTTTACAGATAGAAAACTCCCTAACAATCATACTTTAATACAAATGAATGCCGTGCGAAGAATCGAATCCGCAACCATTGGAAGTTAGGCGGTGTGCTAAACCACTAGACTACCGGGGCCGTCGGTGTAGTGAAACTTTTATTTATACCGTGTCTGAATCATCCGCAGGCCCTTACGCCTGGGTTCGAGTCCCGAGCTTGTGTTTCTTCTTCCCGGGCATTCTCCTGAGGTGAATCACCCCATCGTCGTTTTTTTACGGTGTTATTTGGCGAATGTAACCGGCTGAAGTAATAGTGTAGCGAGAATGAGAACGGATTCTAATCTGGTTTATAATGCAATAAAAAGTAAAGTCATGATCTTTGAGGCAAGAGACAAAAACACATGCAAACATGATTTTCCGGATGTCAAACTGTAAAGAGCATTGCTTGGAGAAGATATACTAGCATTGCAGTTTTGGAATTTATTCCAGGAAAAGAGCATTACTTGAAGAAGATATATCCATGAAGTTTGGACTACTCTAGAATTAATATTTTGCAATTTAGCCCAGGCAAATAGCAATGCTTGGAGAAGATATATCCTTTAAGATTGAACTCTCTAGCATTGCAGTTTTGGAATTTATTCCAGGAAAAGAGCATTACTTGAAGAAGATATATCCATGAAGTTTGGACTACTCTAGCATTAAAGTTTTGGAATTTAGCCCAGGCAAATAGCATTGCTTGGAGAAGATATATCCTTTAAGATTGAATTTTTTTAGCATTAAAGTTTTGGAATTTATCCCAGGCAAATAGCATTGCTTGGAGAAGATATATCCTTTAAGATTTAACTTTTCTAGCATTAAAGTTTTGGAATTTATCCCAGGCAAATAGCATTGCTTGGAGAAGATATATCCTTTAAGATTGAACTTTTTTAGCATTAAAGTTTTGGAAAATATCCCAGGCAAATAGCATTGCTTGGAGAAGATATATCCTTTAAGATTGAATTTTTTTAGCATTAAAGTTTTGGAATTTATCCCAGGCAAATAGCATTGCTTGGAGAAGATATATCCTTTAAGATTTAACTTTTCTGGCATTGAAGTTTTGGAGTTTATTCTAGCAAAGGAGCATTGCTTGGAGAAGAGATATCCATCAAGTTTGGACTACTCTAGAATTAATATTTTGGAATTTATTCCAGGGAAAGAGCATTATTTGGAGAAGACTCCTATAGCGGCTTGGCTGCAACAAATACCGTACGACTTTGCTAGCGCTACACACGCCCCCGCCAACTATTTGTGTGGTAGCTGCTCTGAAACATCCCCGTACACTGTGGAACCTTTGCAGGTATACCTCAATTTTTTTTATAAAGGTTTAGCATACGGCTCTGCTTCCGATGGTCGCGGGTTCGATTCCTCGCACGGTGCAAACGTTTGTATTCATGACTATGATTGTACTGGTCGGGGTGTTTTTTCTATATATCACTATTACATATTATTACATAGTATAAAGCAAAGTCGCTATCGCTGTCTGTCCCTATGTATGCTTAAATCTTTAAAACTACGCAACGAATTTTGAAGCGGTTATTTTTAATAGATAGTGATTCTAGAGGAAGGTTTATATATATAATACATGTACACCCGTGCGAAGCAGGGCCGAGTAACTAGTTATGTATATATTTAAAAAGAAATTTATCAAAGTTTCTTTTCTATCAGTTGTCTGAAACCTATACACAAGCTCTACTTATTATTTCAAACGAGAATTGTCAATAATATCTTCATATAAATAAGGTATTTTTTAGTTTGACAGTTCTTATCAATTGTAATCTTCTCTAATATATTTTGACTATTAGAATAGAATAGAATAGAAAAACATTTATTCAAATAAACTTAATTTAAACACTTTTGAATAGTCATAACATTTTTTTTTATCTACCGCTCATTCGGAAAGCTGTCTCATCACAAGAAGAATGAGCAAGAAACTTGTGTGTTGCTCTTTGAAATAATTATAACTTTACATTTTTAAGCTGAAAAGTGTGATTAAAAACTACCAACTAATACTAATTCAATAGTGTATAGCAGTGATGGCTGGCTCATCCATCATACTCGTGAACGAATGCTGCTTGTAGGTACTGGTCTGATCTTATCACTACGACTGATTTAATCTTATTGTATTTTTATATTTGACCCTAATAAATTAGTGATGGTTGGTAGTTTGTATTCACACGTTTCGACTTGTAAATGTGAACTTACAAGGATTGATCATCTGTGGCAAAAGACTATGTCTATGGACCACTTGATTAATTTAATCTGTATTTTTTTCAGGACCACCTGTGGCAAAAGACCTTGTCTATGGGTCATAGAATTGACCTGAGCGAGACAGATAGACACGTAATCAATATCTTATACGGGAGACAGTGTCAATATAGATATTTGGCCAAGAATTAAAATAAAGAATGCCTTATGGTGTTAAACCCGCAAATGTAGTACCTTTTATAATAATAATAATAATCTCAGGACAATTCACACAGCGCCATCTAGACCCAAGTAAAGCTAGCTAAAGCTTGTGTTATGGGTACTAGACAACTGATACGTATACATAGATATTTTTTGTAAATACATAGAAAACACCCAGACCGATACAAACAATCATACTCATGAATACAAATTTTTGTGCCGTGCGAGGAATCGAACCCGCGACCATCGGTCGTAAACCGGTGTGCTAGACCGCTAGACCACCAAGGTCGTCATGTTATTATACCGCATGAGCTGTATTACTGTAAAGTTTTATCAAAATTCTTCGAGTCGTTTTTGCGTGAAAGAGTTACAGACATGAGACATCCGTCCAACTATACTAATTTCGCGTTTATAATATTAGTAGTAAATGTAATATTATGTTATCTGGGGTAGTAACTAGTAAGTGGTATATGATTAACGACTTTTAAAGCGACTTATGGAGATTTACCAAAGGATCGCTTAAAAAAATAGCCAAATTCGAACTCACGACCTTTCTTAGGTCTAATATTTACATAAAATAACAGCTACCGATTACTATGAGCGGCAAAACGTAACGTTAGCGCGTTTTACGTTTCTGTGCACCGCCATCTAGTAGCAAGTTTGTGAACTAAAGCCAAAGAGTAAAGTAAATATACCAGAAGGAAAAGCGAAATATTTAAGTTTTTAACCCAAAATAGCCAATGAATAAAGTTAATTCCATTTTTATAGTTCTAGCTTCAAAAATGACGATATTCCATACAAATTTAAATCCCCTATTTTTTTATATTCCCTTAAATCTATGTATGTATATTATTATTTATGTATAGTAATATTTTAATTTCATTATGTTGTGGTATGGGTAAACTGAAAACCAGCGCTGGACGCCCATCAGTCCAGCAATAACTGAGTTTGTACCTATCGCCAATCATAATAATTATGTATAGGGGGAAAGGAATTGTTAGTAATGTGGATTGATAACCCCATAGCTAGCAATGTACCATGTCGGGTTGACCTCCACGCGGTTCCCCCTGGAAACCATCATAAATTCTTAGTGAATTTGTCACGATGGGCTAACTGATCTAACCTCATGCTCATCTTATCACCCTCCTCTGGTGCCCCGCCAGCGTAAACCGTTAGCGCAGGCGGGTGAAACATCCCATTATCATCCATAAAAAAAAATGTATAAATGTGTAACTATATATTACTATACTAATATTGGCAATAAATTTATTTATTATTATTTAAAAGTAACATTTATACAAACTGAATGTCATATTAATTTATATTTAATCAAAACAGTTTGTGAACTTATTATATTAAAGCAAAAATATTTAATAATCCAAACCAAAGTAGCGAAGAAGAAAAGTTTCATCGTTCTAACTTCAAAAATGTCGAAATCCCAACTTTCATTTCTTATTTTATTTAGTTTTAAGGGTTATAAACTTTGAATGTCACATTTACTTATTTAATCAACAGCCTAAAAAATAAGTTTCAAGCTTCTAGCTTTAAAATATACGATACTTCCATACAACCTTCCACAAAAATGAATTCCCAAATTTCATCTCTTATTTTATTTTACCCCCTTGAGGGTTGTAAAGTTTTAATGTCTCATTTATTTATTTAATCAACAGCCTAAAAAATATATTTCAAGTCTTTAAAAATGACTTTACTTATACTATACAACCATCTATGTTTCTTTTCAACCCTTTTTTGCATTAAACAGTAATCTATGTAAGGGCACATAGTCCTGTATTGTGAATATCTACATTTATTTGAAAAGAATACGAGCTGAGTTTCTCTTCAGTTCTTCTCATCTCGAAATCATTCTAAATTGAGGGTAAATTTGACATATCATGAGTCTGTAAGACCTCGAGAAAGCTCTCAAGGTCTGGACTATGTACCAAATTTAATTTAAAATGACCTCGATGGTCTAGCGGTGCAGCAGGTGTAGTGCCTTACTTCCGATGGTCGCGTGTTCGATTCTTCCCACAGCACAAACATTTATAAGTATCCATAAGCATGATTGTTTGTATCGGTCTGGGTGTTTTCTATGTATAATATGTATGTATTTACTAAAAAAAATATCTATGATTAGTATCTAATACCCATAACATAAGATTTGGCTAGTTTAATTTGGGTCTAGATGGCGCTGTGTGAATTGTCCTGATATTATTATTTAAATCGGTTCAGTAGTTTTGGTGTGAGAGTCAGACAGACGGAAAACTGTACCTATAGTTTACAACATAGATATTTTTTTTTAATACATTATGTATTTAAAAAGGTTTTGGTTTTAGCTGTCTTGTACCCATAACACAAGCTCATAGCTTGGGACTAGATGTCGCTGTGAGAATTGCCCTGAATTTGTATTATTAGAAAAAAAAACTACAAAAATCACTGTTACAATTATTATTTATTTACACAATGGTTCCCTATATTAATACATAATAGGAACCACCAATTAATATTACAACTATATATCAACGGAAGAAAGAGGAAATGTAACTTAAAAATCCAACATGAACCCAGAGCCAAAAAACTGATTAAAAACTTCAATAAAATTGGAGTGTATTTGTAATATTGATATAACAGTTTTTTTACTCCATGCATATGAATATAAATACGGTACATACACCAAAATAACATTTTTTACCATTTTTGTCTGTCTGTCCGTTTGTTCCGGCTAATCTCTGAAATGGCTGGGCCGATTTTGACGGGACTTCTTTTGGCAGGTAGCTGATGTAATAAGGAGTAACGTAGGCTACTTTTATTTTAGAAAAATAAAGTTAATTTCCACCAGTATATTTATAAGGGTATAGAAAGTTGTAAATTGGTTAAATATATACCAATTTTCATTCAATTCTATTTCGATAAATACCTTTACGAGTTTAGTTTTTTTTTTAATAAAAGAATCTGAAACATTTTTGTAAACTTGGGTTTTAAGATTTTACAACAAACTACCAGAGTCTGTTCTAAATCTGCCTGAAAAAAATCTAATATCATATAAAACACTCTCTCTGTAAAAATGCTTATTATAAAATTGAAGAGTTTGTAAGTAACAATGTTTTTATAGAAAAAAACTTAAAATTCATAGCGCTGACAATATTATCAGATTGCACTAAGAATGAGTGCGTAGCGGTTTCTATATTGATTATCGCATGCCTCTTGTTATTGTGTAATTATTTATTAAAAAAAAACATTTATTCAAAAGAGCAACACACAAGTTTCTTGCTCATTCTTCTTGTGATGAGTCTGCGTTACGAATGAGTGTTAGAATAAAAGAATGACTATTCAAAAGTGGGGCATTGGGCTCCCTAATATATGGTCGTGCGCAGTGATGGCTGGCTCATCCGTCATACTCGTGAACGAGTGCTGCTTGTAGGGACTGGTCTGCTCTTATCACTATGACTGATTTAATCTTATTGTATATTTATATTTGACCCAAATAAATTAGTGCTGGTTGGTAGTTTGTAATCACACGTTTCGACTTGTAAATGTGAACTTACAAGGATTATTTAAAAGAGCAACACACAAGTTTCTTGCTTGTTCTTCTTGTGATGAGACAGCTCTGAATGAGCGGTAGATAAAAAAAATTGTTATGACTATTCAAAAGTGCTTAAATTAAGTTTATTTGAATAATGATTATTTCCATTGTTACTTCAAGTTACAATTCCTGAGAGCTTCCTTCCGTCTTTATAATAGGATGTAATAAAAGTTACAAATTATATCTTACTCCATTGTTTTATTCTAAAGAATTGTTACTCAGATCTAAAATCAGCAGATTGTGTTCAATTCATATATGTTAACAGCCATAGTAATTTTCCCGCGAAAATAAACAATTATTTTTTTATTAGGTAATTTTACGGCCCTGGATGCTTTGCCAGTCTGAAGGACTAAGATGCCTTATATAGACTGGCTCGGTGGTCTAGCGGTTTAATAAGAGTATATCGCTGTATTTCCGATGGTCGCGGGTTTGATTCCTCGCACGGTATAAACATTTGTATTCATTAATATGAATGTATAGGTTTGGGCGTTTTCTTATGTATATATTTACAATAACTATATATATGTATTTATATCAGTATCTAGTACTCATAACACAAGCTCAGCTTTACTTGGGACTAGATGTCGTGTGAATTGTGCAGGGAGAACATTAAAAAAATATCCTGTACTTTCACTGCTTAATCTGCACCTTACAACCGAAACAGTTTACAAAGGAAGCTGCTTGGTTGAAATAGGCGAGACTGAGGTATACACGTAGACGAGTTTTTAGTCTAACTGTATATATCCAAAGCCGTAAGAATTCATATATACATTGTAGATTAGGCAAGAGGAAAGCAAAATATACTATTATAATTATTATACATTAAATTACTTTGACTTGCTGCATTATATCTAGTTGGAGATAATATTCTTGTGCAATTTGAACTGGTTTTTTTTAAATATTTTACGGCTCTGGATACAAGTCCTTTTTAGCCCAACATAAAATACAAAACCTTAAAAATTTATAATTTCTTCCCAGTAACTGGTTTTAGTACAGTGTTGCTATTAGTAAATTACTCAAAATATCAGTAAATTTCACACCCAATTATCTCATGAGCCTTCCCACGTCATATCCGTTCACATTATGATAACTTTCGTGTTTTTAAATGTTTTCTCACAAAATCTAAGACCGACACTACAAAGAGTTTTAGATATATGATAGCAACTGAACGACCAATGTTTGCTCGTCTATTTTTTTTAGGTAAACAATAAAACAGACTGTGTTTTGAAGAATTTCTCGACATGATGCCTAAGGTCACCTTTTAAGATCGCACTGCTCGCCATCGACAGGGAATTCATCGCCACACGCTAGAACCAAAGTGGCTCGGACAGTGCGGTTTCAGAGCTTCCACCCGCGTACATTGCTGAATGAACTGCGTGCTAACTTCTCAAGAAGATATTAACGTTTTTTAGGGTCGGCAACGCGAGACCCCTGGTGTTTCAGGTGTCCATAGGCTACGGTAACCGTTTAGTATCAGATAGGCCGTATGCTTGATTGTCACCAGTATAAAAAACATTTCTTTTATACGAAATTTGTGACCTCTTTAACGCCTTGTACAACGCTGTCGGGCAGCAGTGGATGATGATGATGATGATGTGGTCAGGTCAGTTAGCACACCGTGACAAATTCACCAGGAATTTCATCAGGATAGCTTCCAGGGGAAACCGCATGGAGCTCAACCTGACATGTTACATTGTTAGCGATAAGATCATCTGTCCATATTACTATCTGATGACCATACATACCAATGTACATGTCAGCTTGTGTACGCTTCTCCCTGGAAACTTTGTAACCGAAACATTGCTAAACAAAACGGCGCTATACGAGGCTGTTTGTCTTCCTTTCTTCAGAATCAGTACTGTTAATATTTTTTCTTCATGCTCAGTTATTTCCTTAAGCTCATTAGAAAGGCTAGCTGCTGTCTTGGCTAAACTAGGCCTATGCACGACAAGAATCTGCAGATTCTGCCAAACTGAAGAGGAAACGCCTCTACACATCCTATGTGTTTGTAGCCCACTCATGCATAAACGAAATATCTCCTTTAGAAAGTTTACACGCTATCCTGAGGAGATAAAAACCATCGCTCGTAAGAATGTCCTTCAATTCTTGTCCCTGACGGGTCTAGGTAGCGAACTTTGATAAAGGGCGAGCACAATAGATCTATGTAGGTCGCAGTGCTACAGGTGCTAAATATCTGACAATAGCCCAAACAACTCAATAAAATAATAGCTGCTGTTTCTTGAACTTTTTCCTCGACGTCTTTCTGTTGTACATATTTGGAAACTTCGCGCACAAATTCAAAGAATCCCAGGGTTGAAATAAAGGAGCGCTAAACTGAACATCGTTAAACGGGATCTTACTGTATTTGCCTTTCTTGCCACATGATCAATGCCCCTAAATACACTTCCAATTTTCCAAGGGGTTGTTCAATTAAGGATGGGAATAGATAAGACAAATCAGTTTTCACATACACTGCAGGGTTGCATTTCGTAAACTGTTTTATCTATTTTGTGACTGCACTTCCCGTTTATAGCCTCTGTGTTGCCATTACTCTTATTGCAGTATGTACAATATGAGGTTTCGAAGATGGATGAGCATTTAAAACAATATTTCACGCTTCCATTCAATTCCATTGTCTTTGGTGCAATACTTTTTAAATCTGTATCATTAATTTTATTTGTTATATCTTTTTTATGGTTTTCCGTGTTGATTATTTCATTATTTTTTCGTCTATTGATACTTTTACATTTTTTGTAAAAAGAATTCAGTTGGGCTCTACTTCTCTCTACTTCTTTCGGACTCTCGCCTTTAGAGACTTCTGAGTGAGTTTCATTTGTATGTTTATCGTTGCGTGGAATTGTTGATTTAGCATCATCGTCAATATCATCAGAGATTATTCTATAAACTGTAATAAAATTCTTCTTGTCTATGTCATTATTATCTTCTTCAGTTTTACCCTCATTCACATTGCGTCCAATACCTTTTTTATTTTTGGACTTTTTTAAGAAGAACTGTTTTATTTTGTCTAATATAACTTTTGATGTGTCATCTATTGCTTCCATTTCCTCGCTCTTAGATGATTTGCCGTTTTTGTCATCCGCATTATCACCATCGGCATTATTAGTCTGTTCATCATCTTCTATCAAATACTTTATATTAGTATCAGATATTGTATCTATTTCATGATCTACACTTGAGGATTCGTCAGAACTTTTAATAGATACAGGAGATGTAAACGCACCTTTGTTGCTGCTCAGAGGGTATTTTTTCAGAGGTGGCAAGTCTTTCGGTACCATACTTAGATCTCGCAGATTGAGCTTCTTTTTATCAATTATAGACGTTTTCAAATGATCTTCTACATCGTTTATGTGTTCTAGAGGCGGTGGTGTTTCAGGTTTTTTATTTTTATTGTCATTCGTCCGTGTTGTGCTAGTGACTTCGTCGTGTTGTGTTGCTGTATCATTGTTGTCAATAGGTATTTCCATATTCTCTAAATCGGTTAGCATGTCGTCATGGAATATAATATGAGATAGGTCCTCTTCAGTACTTTCCGATTGTCTGTTTTCTGAATCTTTTCTTGGACATGTTTCGTTATCAGCTTCTTTATCAGTAACAGTTTCATTTGATACATTATTTTGTTCGTCTTTGTTCGTAGTTAAATCAACATGTTTGGACATGTCAGTTTTATTACTTTTATGTTTTATATTATTAAGTAAATGTTCAAGTTTTGTCTGTTTTCTAACAAATTTAGGATCATGTTTGTTTGTTTGTGTGTTTATAATTTTGGTTGCAATAGATTTATCTTTTAGAAGGCTTTGTGGATCCTTTTTGGGCGGTGTTGCTCTGGTAAGTATGGGTTCTGAAACATAGATGTATAAATTGTTACTAAACATATTATAACTTTAGCTGCTGAGAGAATTTGTAGGAAAATCCTAGTACAATATATATGGAAACACAATTATACTAGAATGACCTCAGTGGTCCAGCAGTTTGACACAGTACTAACTTCCAATGGTTGCGGGTTCGATTTATGTACAATACAAACATTTGTATACATGAGTATGATATTTTGTATCGGTCTGGATGCTTTCTATATATATTTACAAATAAAATTTTTAGAAAATCCTAGTAAAATGAAACAGCTTCGGAATGAGAAATTTCCAAATTTATTTATAAAAAATAAATTCCACGCGGACGAAGTCGCGGGATCAGCTAGTAAAGAATATAAGAATATATAAGATGCTTACCAACCAGCAGTCTACATTATTAAAAAATATCTGCTCTCTATTTCTTTTAGTTATAAATATATAATAATTTTATTTATTTATTTATTTCAGGCAACTAGGCCCATATTATAAATACCTTATAGACTAACATACATGTTATATACAAAATTCTCGTGTCTCAATTTTCGTTCCCATACTCCTCCGAAACGGCTTGACCGATTGTCATGAAATTTTGTGAGCGTATTGAGTAGGTCTGAGAATCGGCCAACATCTATTTTTCATCCCCCTAAATGTTAGGGGTAGTCCAACCCTAATTTTTTTTTTATTTTAAGGCAAAACAACGTTTGCCGGGACAGCTAGTATAATATAATATTTAAAAACTAATACAATGATATTGTCTGTGTGATCACAGCACTGAAGACGGCAATCTGCCACGGCAGCGTCGATATACCACACCTTTCGATAAAACATAAAAAAAAATGCAAATACTTACTCTCAGTGTACCAGGCTTCTGGTGGATCCTCCCACCACACTGGACTCGGGCAGGTCAGTATCTCCATTAGGTCCTCATCGTCCAGCTGTCCGGTGTCTTCGATTATCCTCACCATCTCTGACATACTCAGCTCGGAGTAGACTGGACTCTGGTCTCTGGAGGAGCACCGGATGTTGGTTTCCAGTGGCAATGACATTATATCTGTAATAATAATAATAATCTCAGGACAATTCACACAGCGCCATCTAGACCCAAGTTAAGCTAGTTAAAGCTTGTGTTATGGGCACTACATAACTGATACAAATACATAGATAAATAAATAACCCTCGTCAGGGGGGAAAGAGATTGTCAGTAATATAGATTCATGACCCCATTACTAGCAATGTACCATGTCAGGTTGACCTCCACACGGTTCCCCCTGGAAACCATCGTGATAAATTGCTGGTGAATTTGTCACAATGGGCTAACTGACCTGATCTCATGCTCATCTTGTCATCCTCTACTGGTACCCCGCCAGCGTAAACCGTTAGCGCAGGCGGGTGCACCATTACATTATCATATTAACACAGCGCCATCTAGTCCCAAGTTAAGCTAGCTAAAACTTGTGTTATGGGTACTAGACAACTGATACAAATACATAGGTTTTTCCCAAATACATACATATTATACATAAAAAACATCCAACAATTATACTCATGGACACAAATGTTTACACCGTGCGAGGAATCGAACCCGTGACCGTGAAGTAAAATGGTGTGCTAAACAGCTAGACTACTATTGGGGATTGTTAGTAATGTGAACTAGTGATCTTATCATTTTCTTGACATATTTGACATTATTTTACCATATATGATTGCTTTACGCTTCAACGTATCTGATGGCAAGGAATTAGACCGGCTCCCTGCCAGCACCGGCCCACGTAGTAGCAACGGACAATGTACTATGTCAGGTTGACCTCCACGCGGTTCCCCCTGGAAACCATCGTGATAAATTCATGGTGAATTTGTCACAATGGGCTAACTGACCTGATCTCATACTCATCTTGTCATCCTCCACTGATGCCCCGCCAGTGTAAACCGTTAGCACAGGCGGGTGCACCATTACATTATCATCCATATAAAAAAATATAAAAACGGCACATATACCAAAATAACATTTTTTACAATTTTTGTCTGTCTGTCTGTTTGTTCCGGCTAATCTCCGAAATGGCTAGATCAATTTTGACGGGACTTTTATTGGCAGGTAGCTAATGTAATAAGGAGTAACTTAGGCTACTTTTATTTTAGAAAATAAAGTTAATATCCACGACGAAGTCGCGTGTAACTAGTAAGCTAGTGTAATAATAATAATGATAATGAAGTAAGGATTATTAAGATTATTAACCTCGTTGTGGTGTGCACAGCTTCCGTTTGTTCGTCTTAGCCACCAGTTTCATCTCATACGTTGGCTTCAACCAAACCTTTTGTTCTGGTTTCACTTTCTTCCTCGATACATTCACTATTTGCGGTGCATCATTACTTTCCAATTGTAATTTTTTTGGTGTTAGAGTGCTGGAATTTTCTAGAATCTTCTGTGGTTTCTTCGGTGACAGTCTTGGTTTCTTCTGGAATATATAGAATAACTTACGATTGAAGGCCTATATGGTCCAGGGATATACTGGAATTACCTTTAAGTAAATTCAAAACATCTGTTAAATCATATTTACTGAGCAAGGCCTATTACTCACTAAACGATTACTTGAATGACGAGCGTGCATGCCAAAAGTTGTATTTTCACTTAATGTTAAATATAGACACCTACAGAATGTACAATGTATATAAACTCGGCAATTTTATTTATACGTATAGATTACATATATATTTTTTAAATATTTTTAGTGTACAATAATTTGAGGTAGACATTATTTAAGCCCTAGACTTATTTCAATTAAAGTGCCCACAGGTCATCACCCGGTCCCAACATGTAAATGTACTTTCGTAAAGTGACCCACCGGTGATGACCCTGTCCCAACGTGTAAATTCACTTTCATAAAGTGACCCACCGGTGATCACCCGGTCCCAACATGTAAATTTACTTTCGTAAAGTGACCCACCGGTGATCACCCGGTCCCAACGTGTAAACTCACTTTCATAAAGTGACCCACCGGTGATCACTCGGTCCCAACGTGTAAATATACTTTCGTAAAGTGACCCACCGGTGATCACTCGGTCCCAACGTGTATACTCACTTTCATAAAGTGACTCACCGGTGATAACCCGGTCCCAACGTGTAAATTTACTTTCGTAAAATGACCCACCGGTGATCACCCGATACCAACGTGTCAATTTACTTTCGTAAAGTGATCCACCGGTGATCACCCGGTCGCAACGTGTAAATTCACTTTGGTAAAGTGATCCACCGGTGATAACCCGGTCCCAACGTGTAAATTTACTTTCGCAAAGAGACCCACCTGTGGGCATGTGATCTTTAATGTGTTAATATTTAAACTGACTGTACCTGTCCAGATTTTGTAGGTGATTTGAGTAACTGCGTAATGTTCTTCATACTGCGATCCTTGTTGCGTAGCTGTCGCTGCTGTTGTGCCGACTTATATCTTGTCAGGATCATCTCCTTGGCTGGTAACTTCACCATCTTATGTGACTTCATAGACATGCTGCTCTGAAATTATAATACAAATTTAAATATTATTTAATCTATATATATAAATAAAATTGGAGTGTCTGTTTGTAATATTGAAATGACCGTTTATTACTACATGCATATGAATATACATACGGTACATACACCAAAATAACACTTTTGACAATTTTTGTCTGTCTGTCTGTTTGTTCCGGCTAATTTCTAAAATAGCTGGACCGATTTCGATGGGACCTTTATTAGCAGGTAGCTAATGTAATAAGGAGTAACTTAGGCTACTTTTATTTCAGAAAAATAAAGTTAAACAGATTTAGTTAGTTGAATATATAAATAATAAGAGAGCCTAGAGCCAAGTTCATTATACAATCCAAGTACATTTCGAATCTTTGACTCTGATAGTAATAAATAATTTTATTATGAATTATACAATTAATATATTTATAATATTTTGTGTAATTCTGCTACAATGAGCATGTGAGAGACCACTAATAATCAAAATCTTTATTCATGTAGGTCTATTAAAGACTCGAACTATATGTTAAATCTACCATCACTTCAGAATGATTTCGAGACGAGAAGTACTGATGAGAAACTCACCTCATTCTTTTCAAATAAATGTTGTACATGTTTACAATATTACAGATTCGTTAAATTCACTGCTTAAGTTGCTGTTGTAGAGTAAAATTTACTATATATATAGTGTGTAGTATGACATAATAACTATAACTTATTATTGTCATACTACACAATACACACATACAATTCATATTCTTTTGTATGAATAAATATATATATATAATAAATAAATATTTGTTTATAGCCTTTATTGTTGTACGAAATATGTAGTTAAACTATTTATGACTGGAAAAATGTATTTAATGGTAGATGGTAGACAGTGAAGTGAGATAATATAATTTTGATTAGAGAATACAAGAAAATTGTAATTACATCAAATGACTTTCTCAACATTTATATTGATGGCAAAGTTAATGTTGTTTTTGTTTATTGCTATTTCATTGCATATAATAGACACTATATTCCTCTGTCCAACGCTTTCCGTCTCCGCGTTGGTCCAGCCACTGTCCTTATGGTATCCTCCGATCATTTCAGTCACCCTTGTTTCTTTTTTTGATCTCATGGATACCAATCTAAGATATTCTTGGTTTATTTCTCTCTCTTACTTCTTATTGCATATCATATCTACTTCTAATACAGTTTCTTAAATATTCCAAATGGTTAGTGATGTTTGAATTATTAAAAAAAATAATAAATATCTCAAGACAATTCACACAGCGCCATCTAGACCCAAGTTAAGCTAGCTAGCTAAAGTGTTATGGGTACCAGATAACTGATACAAAAACATAGATATTTTTTTTCCGTAAATATATACATATTATTCATAGAAAACACCCAGACAATCATACTCATGAATACAAATGTTTGTGCCGTGCAAGGAATCGAATCCGCGACCATCAGATGTAAAGTGGTATGCTAGACCGATAGACCACTGAGGTCATCACTAAATAAGTAAGGTATAATTATATATATTGTCTTTAATATAAACAGAACTTGCTCTTTTTAGTTTGTTTGTTTATTTGCTGTTAACGACTAGAAGCTTCTTAGCCAGTTTGTTTGGGTGAATAGCGCCTACTTCCACTAACTTCATAGTATACATACTGATTGCAGATAGACAACATACAAAAATAAAAAAGGAAGGCAGAGTTATGACAATGCCTTATTGTAATTAATAAATAATAAGCAATATAATAAAGAAAAATGTAATTAATAATTTCAATTATTGATCAATAATTACAATATACCCATATTGCAATTATTAATAATTCTTAATTAAATTACTAATTTATTACTATCATATTGCAATTATTGATGAATAATTACTGCAATTATTAATAATTGCAATATGAGTATATTGTAATTATTCATGAATAATTTATAATTAAATTACTAATTTATTACTATCATATTGCAATTATTAATAACTGCAATTATTGATGAATACATTTTTCTTTATTATTAATAATATATTATAAAATAATAGACTCAATAATAGTCAGAATTTGATCACCATTAGAGAAGGTAATCAAGTTTCCGCACTGAATATTCAAGTTTTCACACATTGTAATTCTAGAAGTCTTAGACGGTCTGAATTATATCACCACTAGAGAAGACAGTAACCATAGTCAGGTTTCCATACTGTATATGAGAAGAATACAATTGGAGTATTTAAGTAGTTCTTCTCATCTCAAAATCATTCTGAACTGACTGTATATTTAACTTATCATAAGAGTCTGTAATAGATCTACATGAATAAAGATATTATGAATTGAAAGAATAGTGTAATAGGTCATTTGACAACCTCTGTGGTTTAGCAGTCTAGCACACTGCTTTACGTCCGATGGTCATGGGTTTGATTCCTCGCACGGCACAAACATTTGTATTCATGAGTTTGTATGTAACAGTTTGTGTCGGTCAGGGTGTTTTCTATGTAGAATATGTATGAAATTACGAAAAAAAAAATCTATATATTTGTATCAGTGATCTAGTACCCATAACACAAGCTTTATATAGTTTAACTTTGGACTAGATAGCTCTGTGTGATTGTCCTGAGATTATTATTATTTTTTATAACTATTTTAATTATGACCATAAATAAAAAAAATATGGTCAGAATTAAAATAGTTATCTATAATAATAACACTTATTCAATAAAACTGCCCTCAATCTTGTTGTAAACAATATAGAATTGTAAATATCTTTTTAAAACCAATGGAAAATTAGTAAATAATTTCACACATTGATAATGTTTATGTAGTTATATAAATGTATATACATATAACTTAATCTAGGATTGACTACATATAATTAGGGCACGTCTATTTTACACTGTGGTCATCAAAAATGACGTAATATAAAATATTGAAATTAGAAGTTACGTCTCATCATTCTACATTATTCACGCCATTGTTTATAACAGGTTAAAGATAAGATTTAATCCGCAAATCATATTTATGCGTATCAGCTTACAGATAAACGAATCAGGTATCTTGCGTGATAATGTTCAGTCTCTTGTAGTACATGAGTTACGAATTACGAGGTCACAGAATGCATATGATATTTAGATAAGTAATAATTAATGATACCTTCTGTGTGTTATCCAAATTGTGCTGACAACAGATGGCAATAACCAATGTTAATTGGCGAAACTCAACAAACGTCTCGTTCAAGCGTTTTGCCACAATGCAGTGGCTGATTCAAAATTAACACCTGTGTTAGATTTTTTCTATAAACATTGTCTAATATATCGTTTGGTATGTTATAATTAAACTTTATTATAACAACATTACAAAATTAAACAACAAATGTGCGCAATTATAATATTATTACAAATATTCTTTTCTTTAAACCATTGAATGTACAACAATTGTAAAGCATTCAGACATGACATGTCACGAAATAGAACTTTGTCGAACTTAATGCTTGTATTTATATTGAATTAAACTGTTCCCGGTATATTATTAACAAAAATATAACTTAATTTCTCAGCATATTAATATAATTCAAGAACGTAGAAATTATGCGGAAATAATTATATTAAGCACATTACTTTGCTACATCTATAGATGCTTTACAATTGATATATTTGTGACTGGCATTCTAGATGAGGTAAAACATGTTTTTTTTTATTTTTGTTTTTAGTGTTTTATGAATAGACATGAATGTTTCTTTTTAAACTTACCAAATTGTATCAGTGTTTATAATGAACGATCATGGAATTTATTACAGAATTTGTACCTTCGAACAAGCTTATATGGTGAAAATTATTAGAGTAAATTAAACAAACATTCTTACTCTGATTAATATATTATAGTAAATTTGTCATCACAAGCACAAAAAAGAAATTTTAGTATCAAGTTATTTCATTGTGTGTTACACAAACAATACAATTTAAAATTTTTACTAAAACTTTTTCATTTTTGGTCTATGCCTAGTACAGTATTTAAAAAAAGTTTAGAAGTAAAATCTTGCTGAACGGAATTCTTGTCTATTTCCAATTTGTACCAAAACCTTCGAACTGACGCCATCTATAGTTTACCCCTATAATTAAAATATGTAATTGTGTACAGGGGCGATATCTATATTAATAGTGTGATACACACTGTGTCTTAATTTGTATCAATCAGATTTTTGTATATGTTATTGATTGTGATTGAATTTATCTCGCCAGCGAATTACTGTAGTCGCAAGCAATAAAAACAAAAAAATCGTAATGCTGAATAACTTAAATATTAAAAAACACTATTTTTGTAATAACAATCATGAGATACTAACTAAAACTATAGCTAAAATATGTGTAATACCGTGAGAGACAGATGAAACTTGTCCACGAAAATCAATGTTTATTTATTTAAAATTTTAATTTTACATTTATTTGAAAAGAATATGAGTTGCGTGGCTTGTCAGTTCTTTTCATCACGAAATCATTCCGAAATGATGGTAGATTTGACATATCATAAGAGTCTGTAATTGACCTATATGAATAAATATATTTTGAATTTGAATTTAGTTATAAACTTTTTGTTGCACTAAGAAATTTACACAAGAATTATTGATCTTATCGCAAGTAAGCAAACATACATTAGATGACGTTTAACAATTTGGAATATATCTGTGTAACTGCAGAGGTGCATGTTATTATTAGTATCTTACATTATCTTTGTTTTGTTTTAGGTGAAATCCTATAGATGGCGTCAACTACCTATGTGATGTTATCTTTTCCTCAATGAAATTGCATCCCGTCTATACGCACAGTCCCACTCAGTGTTGCTATATTATGCAATTCATAACACGTACTAATGTTGCCGTTTTATATTATTACCCGTTTTAATAGAAAATTACCTTTTAAATTACTCAACTTTCTTCGTAAATGAAGCTAAAATGTGAGCGAATTATTTTCATTGAGTCTTTTTTTTTTAAAGTAAACTTGTCTTTTTATGTATTATTTTAATTAAAATACCAACTTTTAAATTACTTGTGCGTTTTTCCTTGCCGAGTTTACACAAACGAGACAAATGTCGTTAGTATGTTCCTTGGTCGTTAGTAACACTAGTCTTTGAGGATATTTTAATACTCATACAAGTTTGTACTAAGCCTTGATTTTGATAGTTGTCAGTAATTTAGTGACATTACAAAAGAACAATAGCAAAACGTTTCCTCTTGCAGAATATATTCTCAGATTTTTCTTATTTCATTCCCTTAAAGTTATACATATTCACTATTAACTATGATTTTTTTTTATCAATTATTTTACTGAAACTATTTGACAGATTTAAATTTAAAAGTGATTCTTGTATTATAATTTGTTTAACGGAACCACTTCTATCTATAGTCTTAAAAAATAATAAAAAAAAAACTTGCAGTTTACTTTCGCTGACATATTAATATCTATTTTCTTGTACATAATAAAATTAATAAATTAGTGTTAGATACCAATTAATAGATCTAATATTCCACAACTACCTCTGCTCTGCCTGTTGTTATATCGTCGTTAAACAATATAGTTTGCATTTATACACTTCATAATATTTATTAATAGAAAAATGGAGTAACTGAGTTGCCGTAAAACATGTTTCGATCCGAAGCTTATCGGATTAATGTGGAGAAAACAAATTCATCACATGTATATTACAATTGTGATATGTGTGACGATGGTGGTTGGTGCAGTGAGACCGAGTTGGAAATACATCGTAACTCCATGCATCCAGACTTACTGTGCGAATTGCTGAATAATAGGAACAAAATTGTTTGTTATGTAAGTATTAATTATTTTGTGACGAACTTAGCGTCATTGTTTGAAGACCTCGGTGGTCTAGCACATCGCTTTACTCCCATGACCGCGGGTACGATTCCTCGCACGGCACAAACATTTGCATTCATGAGTCTGATTGTTTGTATCGTTCTGGGTGTTTTCTATGTATAATATGTATTTACGAAACAAAATATCTATGTATTTGTATCAGTTATCTATAATACAAGCTTTAGCTAGCTTAACTTGGGTCTAGATGGCGTTGTGTGAATTGTCCTGAGATTATTATTATTATTATCAGTTATCTAGTACCCATAACACAAGCTTTAGCTAGCTTAACTTGGGTCTAGATGGTGCTGTGTGAATTGTCCTGACATTATTGTTATAATTGTTCTGGTACATTATGTGGCAGAGAAGATCTCTAACTAGTGACCAGGACTTAACCCATTACTTCCCAAGCATCAATGTAATAGGATTAAGGTCTTAATACATTAGAAAAAGTTATAATATGTATTAAAGTATGTATTACTACCAAAAAAGTAGTTTAATAGATAAAATATTTTAAAATACAAATTTCATCAGTAGCTATAGTATAAATACATAGTTTGTTGAAAAAAAAATTAAATATAGTGTCCATATAGTGACCACCCGAATCAACTGGCTGCTCAATTACTACAAATACTTTACCCCAAGCGACTAAAAAGAAGCGACATTGTGTAATGTTTGTAGTATGCTTAAGGAGTAGATTCTCCCGCTGGGGTGGACACTCTATTCTTAGATCCCACACCCAAAAAATCTGCTCATAGTTCCGGGACTGATTGCAGATAAGAAAAGAGAAAAAAAAAAGAAATAATATAGTGTCCTAAATATAGGACCATGGGAAGGAATGGGTTAAGTATAACCTGGGTGTAGGTTTAAGATGCCCCTTGTGGACATACATCAATACTCATCTTCACCGCTTGTGTTCCCTGCCCACACAAATCATGTAGAAGCCTGCTAGTGCAGCTTTAGGTACAAATTCTAGTATTGAAATTTACATGGTTCTAGACAGGCTGAGATAAAAGATCTCGACCTGTCTGTAGAAGATTGTAGGGAGATCTAGCTGATATCTCTCACACACCACTCTATTCCACTTTAAGTGCATGTAAAATAACCATATTGTCATTGTTACTTCATTAGTTAGTTACTCAGAGGTTACTAACTGACAACCCCCGAAAATATACATACATTTCTACTGCATTTCGATAATCAACACTCAAGTTCTTAACCGGAGAATTCCTTTTTTAATTATGCAGCATATAACAGGCACTGTCTCTCACTAGGACCTGTCATCAGCACAATATAATTTAATATTTATATATATATTTGATATGAAATATTCCACCCGCTCCAGTTTCTAGGGTGCAGCAGAAATTTCAAAAATGTAGGTATACATATGTCCTACACATACACAAAAGTTTGATGTTTGACATATTTATATGTCCCGCTCAGTTTACAGGTTAATTCCTGAAAGTATGCCGGAGGGCATCATTAAATAAGAAGTCTTGCACTCAATGGACAGCAGACTTATTGCTATTGGCCAACTAAAACCTGATTAGTAGACATACTGATTGCGGATAAACCAGGAACAAAAAAAAAATTGTTACACTTTGTAACAATACCCCTCAAATAATAAAAAAAATATCTATGTTCATGTAGGTCTACATACATACAACATTTATTTGAAAGGAATAGGAGCTAAGTTTCTTGTCAGGTATTCTCATCTCGAAATCATTCCGAAGTGACATTATATTTGACATCATAAGAGTCTGTAAGACCTACATGAATAGAGATATTTTGAATTTGAATGAAGGTATAAAAATTAATAAGGCAAAAGTTCTTATAAAATATAACAATTATATAAAGAAAATACATTTAAGATCATTAGAACAATAAATAATAGTAAATATTGATTATTCTTATTTCAGACATGCAAAAGAGAGCAGCCCGACCGCAAAACGTTGCTCGAGCACATCAAAGTGGAACATTTATTAAGCTCCAAGAATGCTACGCGAGTCGAGCGTCAAATTTACGTCTGCGACTACTGTTCTTACATCTTCTTTAATAAGCTCCTATTAGCAGCTCATATACAGAAGAAACACTATCCAAAGTCAAGAAAAACATGCATACAATGTCCGAAATGCCTCAAAACAACCAGACCTACGTTAGCATACGGACATTTCGAGTTGCACCAATTCAAAAGCATAACACTCTGTCCGATATGTCTAGACAAGTGTACCAGTAGACAGGACTTGTTGGAGCATCTAAAAATGCACACAAAGTATTACCACTGCAACATGTGTGCTTATGAGACAAAGAAGGAGACTAACTACCTCTCTCACTTGCTCACACATAAGAAATTCCAGAGTCAGTACACAGGTGATTTCACTAAGTATTATATACCAGTTAAAGGTGTCATGAAGAAGAAATTCCATTCTCCATACGTTATTAATGGATTGCCATTGTGGAATAATCTGTATATATGCATCTTGTGTAGGGAGATATGTACAACTCGGAATAAAATGCAATTGCATATAACAGAGCATGAGATGCCGAAAGTAATGCAAATAAAAAGACATATGTGTTCATGTGGTGAGGAGTTCTTCAATAATGTCCTTCTAAAACATCACATCTTCAAGTTGAAGGGGAATCATAACACATTAGGTATGTATATTGTATTTATCACACAATCTGGTGGAGTCTAAATTTCGTTACAGTATACAGTACTGGAGAAACAGTTATAAATATAATACTAATCAGGGATGTTATGGATATGAAATTTCGGATACGGATAGGTCTCGGATATAGGAATGATTATTATACCGGATACGTATGCGTCGACTGGACTTTTGAAGGCGCTTTCTATTATTTTTTCCGCCAATTTCTTTATCCCTGAAATATCATCCAATGATTTGGCTTCTATTGGGTCCGGTGCGTCTTTAAATGAATCTGCAATAGATAGTTAATTTATATTTATATATAACACTTTATGTCCAATAAAATAAAGAACAGAACAATATTCATCAGGGATGTTATGGATATGAAATTTCGGATACGGATGGGTTTCGGATATAGTAATGATTATTATACCGGATACGGATATTAAATTATTTCAGATTATCCGTTAGTTTCGGATAATTTCGGTTACGGATATTATTTTTTTAAGGAATTTCAAATGGAACATACAAATAGCTAATAAAATGGTTACATAACGTGTCTCAATTAGGCTTCGCCCCTATTCGATATAATCCGAAACTTTTACAATCTTATTTCGGATTCGGTTACGGTTACGGATATTTTTTATATCGGATACGTATCGTACGGATCGTATTTATTAGTAATACTACTATATCTGTATTTTCTAAACTAAATTGCTCCTTATTACATCTGCTACCTGCCAATAAAACCGTCAAAATCGGTCCAGCCATTTCAGAGATTAGCCGGAACAAACAGACAGACGAAAATTGTAAAAAGTGTTATTTTGGTGTATGTATATTCATATGCATGTAGTAAAAACGATTATTTCAATATTACAAACAGACACTCTTTATTTATATATATAGATTCTGTTCTTCTTTGTTTCAGAAGTGAAATACGACGATAATGCACCAAGTATATCACAAGAAATGTACATAGTACAAGAATAATAGTAAATAATTAGAACAATATGGCGGCAGAGCGGGGCCTCGAGGTCCCTAGCTGAATACGCAGTCAGCAGTCACAATGTAATATTTATGTAATTACTAATAAACCTGTTTAATCAATTTAAGAAACAATATGAAGCTATTCTCAACTGTTCGGCTGGCTCATCCGTCATACTCGTGAACGGGTGCTGCTTGTATAGACTGGTCTGCTCTAATCTCTATGACTGACTTCCTCTTATTAATTGTTTAACCATTTGGTTGTATATTTAGTATTTTTTCTATTTGAGTATTTAATTGAATTAGTGCTAATTGGTAGTTTTCAACTTACAAATGTAAAGTAACAATAACAATTTTTAAAAGAGCTACACGCAAGTTTCTTGCTTGTTCATCTTGTGATGATATAGGTTTCCGAATGAGCGGTAGATTAAAAAAAATGTGATGACTATTCAAAAGTGCTTCAATGTAAGTTTATTTGAATAAATGAATTTCTATTATATTCTAAATTCTAAAAACGAAGTTCTTTTGACTGTTTTATTTGGTTCAAATAGGAAAACTGAGGAGAAATTTAGATGATACTGTTTTTATAAGACGCTAGTGCTTTAAATGTTATACGATAAAAGTTTGATCATGTTCTGTTCCGTAATATTTTAGTTCTTTATTATTACATAGTATAAAATAAAGTCGCTGTCGCTGTATGTCCCTATGTATGCTTAAATCTTTAAAACTACGCAACGGATTTTGAAGCTGTTTTTTAATAGTTTATGTGGTGGATAATATATTATGTATTGTTTGTATGTCGGTTCTTTATGTGCAGAAAGCTATTGCATCTACTCTATAATTATGTAAAAATAAATCGATGCAAAAAAGAGTAAAATAACATCATATATTTTCTTATGTCACAAAATTAACAAATCAAATTTATACAATACTTTTTAAAGGTAAAAAATTAGCTTTTAAGTGGCCAGCAATATACTACGAAGTCCACAATAGATAGAGTGATTCAAGAGGAAGGTTTATATATATAATACAGGTATACCAGGACGAAGTAGGGGCGAGTAGCTGGTCATAATTAAAGTAACTTTGAATACATTCGTGATGTTCTTTTATTTCCAATGTTTTGATGACTTTGGTGGTCTAGTGGTTTAGTAGACCGCCTTTCTTCCGATGGTCGCGGGTTCGATTCCTCTCACGCCACAAAAATTCATCCAAAACAATAAAATAGTGTTTGATAACATAATAGTAACTTTACAGTAAATTTTCGTCTACAACACAATAGCAACAGTAAATCTCGTGTTAGAATAGTGGAATATTCATGAGTATGATTGTTTGTATCGGTCTGTGTGTTGTCTATGTATTAATGAAAATAAATGTATTTGTATCAGTTATCTAGTACCCATAACACAAGCTTTAGCTAGCTTAACTTGGGTCTAGATGGCGCTGTGTGAATTGTCCTGATTATATTATTATTATCAGTTGTCTAGTACACATAACACAAGCTTTAGCTAGCTTAACTTGGGTCCAGATGGCGCTGTGTGAATTGTCCTGAGATTATTATTATTATATTATTATTATTATATTATTATTACTGTCCAATGTGGTCGCGGTGGTCACCGCAACACTTGTCCACATTTCGCTCGGTATATTTGAATCTGTTTTTTATTACACATTCAAATTACACTATTAAGCAAACACATACTAAAGTAATTTATTGTTTTTAAGTTTTTTACTTATGTTTCGTGTGAGTCATATTGTTTATGTTCATTTTATATTAAGTTGTTTGTAATTGAGTGTCGATTACCTAATTGATCTGACTTGGTGTTCATCTTATAATCCTCCACTGGAGCCCCGCTTGTGTGAACCGTTACTGTAGGCGGGTGCATCATTCCATTATCATCCACAAAAGAAGAAAAATATGCAACAGTTGTATGCGCTGGAAATAATAAATGCGATCAATTGCACCTGCATCCGTATTTGTCATGTCGTATTATACTTCAACAAGAGCTATTAACCTAATTGTATAACTAAGAACCTAAAATTAAAAAGCTTAAAATATATAATATAGTAACTAAAATATATTATTAAAAGGCGTCCCTTTAGGAAAGGTTCTGAAGATACTGGCAGCGTTCCCTCTTTGAATGGCTAGACTAATTCTTTGTCCGAGGTAGCTGCCAGCTCTTCGGTCTTCTGTGATGTCGACTAACCTTTTTGTTATTTTGACGACCTCGGTAGTCTAGTGGTCTAGCACACCGCTTTATGACCGATGGTCGCGGGTTCGATTCCTCGCACGGCACAAACATTTGTATTCATGAGTACGATTGTTTGTGTCGGTCTGGGTGTTTTCTATGTATAATATGTATGTATTTACAAAAAAAAAAAATATATCTATGTATATGTATCAGTTGTCCAGTACCCATAACACAAGCTTTAGCTAACTTAACTTGGGTCTAGATGGCGCTGTGTGAATTGTCCTGAGATTATTATTATTGTTATTATTTCCTTAAAGTCTTATTGCGCTAGTCTTTGAATCTGTTGTATTATTATGTTTAACACGTTTGATGGTAATTGTAGGGAAAAATTGTAATGTAAAAAAAATTGATGTTCACAAGCGGCTGAAATGTCCTACATGAATAAAAGTTTTTTGAATTTAAATTAGACCAAGTAGTTGTCCATGAGAGCACCATCGACGGTGGTACATACCCGTATAGTGCGCATGTGATCGCTCTTGGCTCGAGCGTGGCCGCACAGCCTCCAGCAGCCAGCGCCATGCGTACACCAGTGACTTGGGTGAGGGTATCACATTGAAGGGTGGCAGCGCCGTTCATTGAAAAATCTTATTCTCACATAGGAACCTGTGTACGGAACACCGTACCATAATAATAATATATTTATAAATTATCACTTACGTAGCATATATCATTTCACTATACATATATTATTGTATATATTTATGTTATCTAGTATATATATATATATATATATATATTTATATTTTGTTGCATTTTGTTTATGTTTATAATTTTGCACCGCCAACAATTATTCTCTGCACCACCAATGGTTGACTGGTAGAAAATGCCGCATGGTGTTAAGTCCGCCAAATGTACTACACTATATATTATATTGTGTGCATTAAAGTTAAATAAATAAAAAAAATAAAAAAAAAATATATTACTATACAATAAATCAGTGTATAACATCAAGCAGTCACTACGGGACCTATCTTTTATTTATCATCCCCGTACATTATCAATATCAATTATCATTATCAACAAGTGTAGGAACAAAACCCCTACAACCTGCACTTTTATTCTTAACTAGCTGTTCCCGTGACTTCGTCCGCGTGGAATTTAACTTTATTGTTCTAAAATATAAGAATTTTGTCTAAAATAAAAGTAGCCTAAGTTACACCTTATTACATCAGCTACCTGCCAAAGAAAGTCAGAGATTAGCCGGAACAAACAGACCTGCAGACAGACAGACAGACAAAATTGTAAAAAATGTTATTTATGTATGTATATATTGTATGTACCGTATTAATATTCATATGCATGTAGTAAAAAACGGTTATTTCAATATTACAAACAGACACTCCAATTTTATTTATATGTATAGATTATTTTTATATATATAGGTTACATATTATTTTTTAAATATGTTTTTAGTGTACAATAATTTGAGGTAGACATTATTTAACCCTAGATTTATTTTAATTAGTGCCCACGAGTTATCACGCGGTCCCAACGTGTAAATTTACTTTAATAAAGTGACCTACAGGTGATCACCCGGTCTCAACGTGTAAATTTACTTTAATAAAGTGACCCACCGGTGATTACCCGGTCCGAACGTGTAAATTTACTTTAGTAAAGTGAGTCACCGGTGGGCATGCGATCTATAATTTGTTAATTATTAAGCGTGCATATTTTGTACATTTATAAATACATATATATGAAAATCATTGTAAATGTAAATCAGGATTAAATGTAAGTAAAATGTATTTTGTTTTTTAATTAAATCATCAGCAACTTTTGGATTACACCTTCTTCTGACGTATGCATGAATAGAAATAATCCTTACTAGCTGGGCCCGCGGATTCACCCGCATGTAATTTATAGCCTACTAGTTGTGCCCGCGTTCGTTCGCGTGGAATTTAACTTTATTTCTCTAAAATAAAAGTAGCCTAAGTTACTACTTATTACATCAGCTACCTGCCAAAAAAGTCCCGTCGAAATCTGTTCGGCCATTTCAGAGATTAGCCGGAACAAACAGACAGACAGAAATTGTAAAATATGTTATTTTGGCATATGTACCGTATTTATATTCATATGCATGTAGTAAAAACGGTTATTTCAGACACTCCAATTTTATTTATATGTATAGAATGTATAGATGAAATATGTCGAAAAATGTAGTGCTTATCGCCATCGGATCGTGTGTTATAATCCTTATAACGCACTTATATCGTAACATACTATTTTCGCATTATATTTATTTTGTTTTGTTAAACGACTAGCTGTTCCCGCGAACGTACGTGGAATTTAACTTTATTATTCTAAAATAAAAGAGTTTTTCTAAAATAACAGTAGCCTAAGTTACTCCTTATTACATCAGCTACAAAATCGGTCCAGCCGTTTCAGAGATTAGCCAGAACAAACAGACCGACAGACACAGATAAAAATTATAAAAAATGTTATTTTGGTATATGTCCCGTATATATATTCACATGCATGTAGTAAAAAAACGGTTATTTCAATATTACAAACAGTCACTCCAATTTTATTTATATGTATAGATGTATAGATGAAATATGTCGAAAAATGTAGTAGGATATACGTGCTTATTTAACACACTCGGCTCTATAACGCCCTCGCCATCGGTGTGTTATAACCCTTATAACGCAAGTGCGTTATAACACACGATCACGAACACGAAAATAGTATGTAACGATAAGTATATTGTAACATACTATTTTCACATTATATTTAATTTTGTTTAAAAACGATGACATACGCTCATTGTTATTAATTTAATTGTTTTGAATACCTGAATATTATTAATACTAATATTTATTATTATGCGTAATTGGATACGTAATGTGTGATTAGCAACAGTATTTTTGTTGATTACAAACGCCATATTTTCGTATTGTCTATGCTTTTATGAATGACGCAAATCGTACGCCATACTGGATTTACGCAATTCATGACACACGACCATAAATAATTTGCTTATTATTTTTCTGTATTCATTCTTATTTGTGAATGACAGTTATTTTTTTTTTGGACTGTAATGTTATGGCAATGGAATGCGTAGTGACTA